TAGCAAGGGGAGCCGGCTAAAAAATAAAAGCGGGTGGGGGGGTCAAGAGAAGGAAGCTTTCCTTTCATTTTTCAAGAGAAGGTTACTTCTTTCTTTTTTTTCTTTTTTTCTTTCTTTCTTTCTTTCGTTCGTTCGTTCGTTCTTTCTTCCTTCCTTCCTTCCTTCCTTCCTTTAGTTTTCAAATTTGTTTTTTTTTGATCCCTATTTGTTTTTTTTTGATCCCTCTCCCTTGCAACCAGGCATCCAAAAAGTCTGATCCGTGGGCGCTTGAAAACTCCGGCAGACCACTCGACAGGGGGACTCCTCAGCACTCGCATCACACCGCACCAAATTCAACAGATGTTGTTACATGCTGCTACACTTCAATACATGTCATGCAAATGCCATGAAATAACTAAATGATCCTGAATGTGTTGCTGCTCTGCTATCTGTCAGTTTGTGTCACCTGACTTCATAATCTTTGCAACTGGGATGCCTAATGAGTTGTGTTCGATACATGGCCCAAACCCGCGCGCCCCATGTTTCGGGCACTGGCAGACCCATGCAGCTGAGCCGTAGCGGTCAGAAGCAAATCAAATGAAGGAGGAAGCCATCAGCACCGCAGGTCAAATGACGGTGAAGGATAAATACAAATGGTGACCATTTTGAGTCTGGCAGCTGGCCAGCCTACAGAACAAAACAAATTAAACAATGACACTGCATATCCGAGTCAGTTTTACCACAGCCCCAAACCAATGTGAGTTCCTGAGCATGTCATGCACTCCAAACCTTCTCGATGACGGGAATTGAAGTTGTTTCCTGTTTCGATGAATTTAACCGAATTTCGTTCTGCAAGAATTGGGAAGACACATGTCTCGACTTTGATATGCGAACAACTAGCACAGGTCTACTCAGGCAAATGGTTTGTGGAGGAGCGGTTGCGTAGGCTCCAGAGAAATGATGTTTCTCTTCCAACTTGCTTCTGGTAGGACTGCAAAAAAATGTCTGCTCAGGGCAATGATCCTGAGCCGTAGCGGTCAGAAGCAAATCAAATGAAGGAGGAAGCCATCAGCACCGCAGGTCAAATGACGGTGAAGGATAAATACAAATGGTGACCATTTTGAGTCTGGCAGCTGGCCAGCCTACAGAACAAAACAAATTAAACAATGACACTGCATATCCGAGTCAGTTTTACCACAGCCCCAAACCAATGTGAGTTCCTGAGCATGTCATGCACCTCAAACCTTCTCGATGACGGGAATTGAAGTTGTTTCCTGTTTCGATGAATTTAACCGAATTTCGTTCTGCAAGAATTGGGAAGACACATGTCTCGACTTTGATATGCGAACAACTAGCACAGGTCTACTCAGGCAAATGGTTTGTGGAGGAGCGGTTGCGTAGGCTCCAGAGAAATGATGTTTCTCTTCCAACTTGCTTCTGGTAGGACTGCAAAAAAATGTCTGCTCAGGGCAATGATCCGCGAAAATCTTTCTGGCATCTGTCCGCTTTGGGTGGACAAATATTAAAACCCGAGAAGGGAGGAACGAAAACCAGCATCCCATCTACCCCTATTTTCCTCCATATTTTTCACCCAGAGACTCTTCACACAGAAACCCTTCTTCCACATACTTTTCACCGATATACTTTTCACCCAGAGACTCTTCACACAGAAACTCTTCTTGCACATACTTTTCACCCATAGACTTTTCACCCACAAACTCTTCACCCAGAAACCCTTCTTGCACATACTTTTCACCCATAGACTTTTACCCAGAGACTCTTCACCCAGAAACTCTTCTTACAAATACTTTTCACCCATATACTTTTCACCCAGAGACTCTTCACCCAGAAACTCTTCTTGCACATACTTTTCACCCAGGGACTCTTCACCCAGAGACTCTTCACCCAGAAACTCTTCTTGCACATACTTTTCACCCAAGGACTCTTCACCCAGAAACTCTTCTTGCAGATACTTTTCACCCATATACTTTTCACCCAGAGACTCTTCACCCAGAAACTCTTCTTGCACATACTTTTCACCCATATACTTTTCACCCAGAGACTCTTCACCCAGAAACTCTTTTTACACAGATTTTTCACCCAGAGACTCTTCACCCAGAAACTCTTCTTGCACATACTTTTCACCCATATATTTTTAACCCAGAGACTCTTCACCCAGAAACTCTTCTTGCACATACTTTTCACCAATATACTTTTCACCCAGAAACTCTTCACCTAGAAACTTTTCTTGCACATATTTTTCACCCATATACTTTCACCCAGAAACTTTTCTTGCACATACTTTTCACCCATATACTTTTCACCCAGAGACTCTTCACCCAGAAACTCTTCTTCAACATACATTTCACCCATATACTTTTCACCCAGAGATTCTTCACCCAGAAACTCTTCTTGCACATACTTTTCACCCAGAGACTCTTCACCCAGAAACTCTTCTTGCACATACTTTTCACCCAAAGACTCTTCACCCAGAAACTCTTCTTGCACATACTTTTCAACCAGAGACTCTTAACCCAGAAACTCTTCTTGCACAGGCTTTTCACCCAGAGACTCTTCACCCAGAAACTCTTCTTGCACATACTTTTCACCCATATACTTTTCACCCAGAGACTCTTCACCCAGAAACTCTTCTTGCACATACTTTTCACCCATATACTTTTAACCCAGAGACTCTTCACCCAGAAACTCTTCTTGCACATACTTTTCACCCATAGACTTTTACCCAGAGACTCTTCACCCAGAAACTCTTCTTGCACATACTTTTCACCCAATGTCCTTCTCTCTCCAATCTCCTCTAACTAGCTGGCCCATCTATCTGTCCATTGATCGATACCCACCGTCACTGTTTTGCCGCCTGGTACATTACCCTGCAAAACCATACTTTGCGTGACCCTAAAACACCACCTATTTACGCCGTTTTCGGCCCCTTGAGACAGCTACCCCCCCCGACCCCCTATTCTCACTTCGTTCGCAAATAACAACTAGCCAGCTTCCCGGCTGGCTTTCGTAATATATCTGATATATTTCATATTCTATAATTAATCATAATTATATGGTACTTAATATTACAGAAATATAATATTAAGTAATATATATATATATGCATAATATTAAATATCGTATATAGTAAATATCACATATATTAACCTTATGTTAATATGTTATGGTACTTATATAGTAAAGATCCAGAGACCCTTCACCCAGAAACTCTTCTTGCACATACTTTTCACCCATGTACTTTTCACCCAGAGACTCTTCAACCAGAAACTCTTCTTGCACAGACTTTTCACCCAGAGACTCTTCACCCAGAAACTCTTCTTGCACAGACTTTTCACCCATATACTTTTCACCCAGAGACTCTTCACCCAGAAACTCTTCTTGCACATACTTTTCACTCATTTACTTTTCACCCAGAGACTCTTCACCCAGAAACTCTTCTTGCACATACTTTTCACCAATATACTTTTCACCCAGAGACTCTTCACACAGAAACTCTTCTTGCACAGACTTTTCACCCCGAGACTCTTCACCCAGAAACTCTTCTTGCACATATGTTTAATCCATATATATCCATATACTTTTCACCCACAGACTCTTCACCCAGAAACTCTTCTTGCACATACTTTTCACCCATATACTTTTCATCCAGAGACTCTTCATCCAGAAACTCTTCTTGTACATAGTTTTCACCCAGAGACTCTTCACCCAGAAACTCTTCTTGCACAGACTTTTCACCCAGAGACTCTTCACCCAGAAACTCTTCTTGCACAGACTTTTCACCCATATACTTTTCACCCAGAGACTCTTCACCCAGAAACTCTTGCACATACTTTTCACTCATTTACTTTTCACCCAGAGACTCTTCACCCAGAAACTCTTCTTGCACATACTTTTCACCAATATACTTTTCACAAAGAGACTCTTCACACAGAAACTCTTCTTGCACAGACTTTTCACCCATTTACTTTTCACCCCGAGACTCTTCACCCAGAAACTCTTCTTGCACATATGTTTAATCCATATACTTTTCACCCACAGACTCTTCACCTAGAAACTCTTCTTGCACATACTTTTCACCCATAACAAAACATCAACAGGATTTCACTATGATTTCACAAGGATCCTTCTGATCGCATCAAGACACTGTAGGAGTCTGCTGGCGTAGAAGGCGACCAGCTACCTGCCAGGGTGGAGCCATCAGAAAAGTCCCTTCTCTGCATGAACGAAAGGGTCGTAATCGGGCTTAAAATCTGCACAAAACAAAACGTCAACACGGCTATCAGTTCTGGCAGGATGCCAACAGATGCCAACAGATGCCAACAGATGCCGATGCCAACTGGAAATCTGCTGGAAGCTGGAAATCTGCTGGGCATATCTGGACATGCCATGTGCTGAGAGAAGCAGAGCATACTTGCCTTGGCAATATCAAGAAGTATCTGAAGACGGACATCCTCTTCAGGATTCTCACTGGGTATGAACTTGGTGAGAGTTCTCCTGGTCAGGTGAAGAACTTGCAAACTACTACCATCTAGCGAGATCTCGAGCTCTGATCATCCTCACTCTTTGGGAGCGATGATTGATGAGCTAGTGCTAACAATTAATGTTGATAACTATTAAATATATTTTGATCAGAGAATCCATGGCTGCACTGCAGTGGACATGCGAGGACTGCGAAGAACAAGGTATGAAAGCCAGTGGGAAAGTCTTGGCGTTTCACAGTGCAATATGCTGCAATGCAGTTCTCTCCACCCGGCATCGACCCGTTTCAGGCAGTCCCGGTCATCTTCTCAAAGACCAACATCAGTTCCAGACTCTCTGCATCCACCGTGGCTCCAAAGAAGGAAACCTAAGGGAGAAACAAAAACCATCATGAACTGGCCCAAAGCACTGTAAAACAGTAAAACACCATTTTTTAAAAAAAAAAATAATAATAGTAAATATACTTGAAAAGATTGCTCTTGCAGTCCAAAGCTGGAAAGCCTTTGCAGAGTCATGCAAATTTCATGTTCAACGCACAACCGTCCACAAGCCGTGCAACTGTTCAGGGTCGCTGCCACAGCAAGGCGTTTTTCCTTCACTTTCCAGTCACCGGTGGGTGAACCATGGGATGCCAATGGCTACTATAGGCTGCTCTTACTCCACAGGAACTGGCTGCCCACTCACTCGTCCTTGGTCTTGGGCGGCGCAAGCGGAAACCAAAAGGTGTCCTTGCTCTGCCGGCGGCTGGGGTCGTTGGCAAGCGTGCTCAAATCAACCTCCAGCGTATCACCGGTACTCTTCATCCAGTCCTGCAAGTCTTCATCCAATTTCACCCTGCCCAAATTCTGGCGCTTCAACTCCGACCTTTGCACAATCACTTGTTCACCCAAATACTTCACCTCGACCTCGTCGCTCTGGAGAGTCTTCTTGAACCATGTCTTCCCTGGCAAGCGCACCACCTTCACAATGCCACCAGTTGGGATAGAAGGATTGGAGCCGGTGAAGAGGACCCGCTCTGCGAGTTCAAACTCCTTGCTGCGACACTTGCCATGGTAGCGCATTGCATTGGGATACTCAGAGCCAAGGTCAGTGGGCGCCTTCATCTGAAAGAGCTTCAAGGGATCCTCAGAAAAGGCATTGTGGAACTTGAAGTTCATGCCTTTGATGGCCTTGTAGATTTTGGACTTCCCAAAGTGCTCCGGATCCTGCTGAGCATCTTCTTCGAACATCTTGCCGCCATTCTCGAGTTCCTGCACGGTCATATTGATCTTCTTCTCGGCTCCTCAAAAGTCGGCTGCAACAACTTGGAATTTATCTGGCATCTCATCACCAGGGCAACTCCAGGTGCATTTGTGCAGCCCTGTCTCATCGAGCTCATAGCTCAAATCTCCTGCGCAAAGGACCTTGCCACATTGGCCCAGCTTCATAGCATCAAGACCTTTCTCCGCCACAGCAGCACCATGCTTCAAGACGGTTGCACTCCCAACGAGGCGAAGTAGTTGGGCAAAGGCCTTCATGTCTTTCCCTTTTGCCTTCTGCAGCAGATCTTGAAATTCGGGGTGGTCTTTGTGAATCAGGTCTGGTCCAGCGGCCTTCAGTTGTTCCACACATTCCTTCAGCTGGTCAGCTTCCGGCCGTCCAAACTTGCTTCCAAAGAGGAAGTATCCCAACTTCTCGCGGTTGATCATTTCCTTTGAGCCCATGAAGGCACGGAAGTGTTCGGAAGTGGCTGCCGACAGATCCAGCAAACTGTGGAACCCATCGTCAGCTGACTCCGAGTCGTCCATGGAGTGCTGCTGCGGCGATTCCAACCAGCTGCTTCCCGGGTCTCTGCGATGATTGCCGTCGTCCGTGCGGCCGTGGATCGCGTTGCACCACGCACTGCACGAGTCCACACAACACATGCAACATACGGTTAGACACTCAAGGTCATCTGTTGAATCTGCCAGCTCTTCATATGCTCCACGCAGGGTCTCGGCAAACTGAGAGCTCACGCCAAAGGTTTTCTCCAAGTCAACATTCTCCTTCACCATCTGGGCAATGGAAGCGGTAGACATGTCCACCTCGCCACTCAAAAGGCCGGCGCTGGCGGTGTCCACAGCAATGCGCGGCATTTTGCGAAAGGGTTTTGAAGACAAAGGGCGGGGGCAAGCAAATGAAAGAAACGGATAGTATCAACTGAGCCGAATGGGAAGCAAAAACAGCGCAAAACTGATCAGCTCTCATGTCAGACATCAGAGAGTTGCGCGGATTCTGGCCCTGACCAAATCAAGAGCACCATCATGGCGCTTTAAGAAGCTGCACGATCAATCGTGATATGTCAAATTCTTCAAGCGGCCTTGAAGGTTTTTCATGATTTTTCTGTCGAAACTTAAGATGTGTGTCCATGGATGAAAATTATTTTAAGTCGATTGTGAGCTCAAAGCAACAAACCCATGTCAATAGATCACGCCTCGCTAAGCGGCAACAGACTCTGCAACAACGTTCAGTATATTTTCTAGACCAAGCAACAAGATTTGGATGTCGAACTTGTCGCAAGAGGCGCAGCTCTGACAAATAGTTCCTGACCACTGCTGACCAAACACATCTGTAATGCCTCCAATGCTTTCAACCGTCTTTGACAAGAATCTATCGGCGAAAGGACCGAGGCTAGACGCAACGTAATCATACCCAAACATAACACCGAAACCCTGCAAAGTTCCATCCCCTTCCCAGAAACTCTTCTTGCACAGACTTTTCACCCATTTACTTTTCACCCCGAGACTCTTCACCCAGAAACTCTTCTTGCACATATGTTTAATCCACCTGAGAAGGGGTGGAACGAAAGCCAGCGCTTGCTTTTTGACTCGCGCGGGGGCGCGTGAAACTCCACCTCATCCATATGGCATGGCTCAAACATGAAGCGCCCCAACATCAACAATTGCTATCGGGTCATAATTTTCCAATCATTAAATGGACCTTTTTAGGGTAAACTCCACGATTTTGTAACTTCTATATCCAAATATGTTTCCTACAATGTACTGCGGCATTGTGAAAAGTTCTATCTCAAGTTCCGTAAATCCGCCTTTGGTTGCTCATTTATCTTAAAACAGCGCAAGTTTGCTCCCACCTATTGTAGATAAATAATACCCGTTTTTTTGTGTGAACAGTGGTCATGTGACCTCTCACAGTCTAAATTGTTTTCTCCCCAGAATCGTGGTCCATGCTTCTCCGCGAAGTTCCGCAACATTTTGGCCGTACGGTGAGAAATCGAAACATAGCTCTACTCGCAAAATGGGCAGTGCAAACCCAAGACAATATTACAACATACGTAAGAAAGGGTATAAGAACGAATGAAAATCGAGGAAAACAATGCAAAACCCACGGGAAATATAGAACAGTGGCGAACATGCAGTCCAAATCAAAAGTATATATATTTAGGCCATTTACAGACCTGGGTACCCCCCCCACCCCCCAAGGGTCTGGAAAATAGGTATTTTACAGGAAATGTCGCGGAATAGCATCATCCTCCCTGACATCGATAGAGATAATTGTTTGGCATCCCGGAAAATCTTCTCAGCTATCACACTCGCCAAACATCCCTTTTAAAAGGCACACATACTATCACGGACGTACAGATGCATATCATTCCCGTCATTGCGATTAGAAGATTCAAATTCTTTCTCGATGTTTTAGTACAAGATTCACTTTTAGTTCTGTTTCAGCCTTCTCAGTGCGGCCTCTTACAATGATATTACAGCATTTGTCTCCTAACCTAGGTGGCTCCTGGGCGCAATCTTCATTCCAATGCTTTGTGACAATAACCAGAGGCCTGGAGCCTATGCATCACTTGACAGTCGACTCAGTTCTAAACCGGAAAGACTATTCCTTCCGTTTACCAGTAGATAGTTTTTGTAGTTCTTATCACAAAACTACCAGAATCAGGGAGGCACCAAAAAACGTCAAACAGCTTTAAGCATTATAAATACTCTAATCTGCAGATTGTATTTATTTTTCTTACTCTGTGAACGAAATCACACTTTTCTAACTTCACACAGATTACCATGAAACACATTTTCCCATGCAACTCCTAAAATCTTACAACTCATACATCTTTTTTCCTATACCATCCGCATTTTGCTCCAAGGTTTCATGGCAATGTCTTGTACGCGAGGCAGCCACTATTTCCTATCACCAAACTACATTGCTCATCATCTAACATTATCTACAGAAACCAAATCGGATTTCCTGCTCAACGTTTCCGCTCGTTGACATTGTCTTGGTTTTCACTATATTTTTTAAAGCATTTTTTTGTTATAACATTTTCCTAGGTTTTCACTGTATTTTTCTAACATATTACATGCCTCCTAGCATGTTCACGCGTGTCCTCCATGTTGTACTGTTTTCTACATCGTCTCCTCTAGTTGTTACAAGCATTTCCTAGCTTGTACACCGTTTTCCTAATATTGTCACAACTTTTCTTCCAGTTTCCATTGCTTTTTCTACCGTTTCCTGTGGTTACTTTCTTCTCTTTTGTAGGTTTCACTGTGTTTTGTCCAGCTTTTTTTATTACATGCTTCCTACCATTTTCACCGCTTTCCTCTATGGTTTTTTGTACCATTTCCTCTCGTTTCCTGCATTTCATGCATTTTCAATATATTTTTCCAAGAGTTTTACCCGTCTCCTTCAGTTTCCGATCGGTTTTGCACCATTTCCTCTGGTTGTTATCGCATTTTCCTGCACTTTCACTGTATTTTTCCAGCATGTTTACTGCATCGTCATAGTTTGTTCCTAGCAGTCGCTCCGGTTTCCTCCATGTTCCAACAGATTTTGCACCCTTTATTCTGGTTGTTATCACATTTTCCTGCCAGGTTGTTATCACATTTTCCTTCACTGTATCTTTCCAGCATTTTCCAGTGGATTTTGCACGATTTCCTCTGATTGTTATCATGTTTTCCTGCAGTTTCTATATCCTCTTCGTGGGTTTTCAGTCTATTCATGCATGTTTAATCTATTTTTCCATGATTTTTACCCGTCTCCTTTTTGCACCATTTCCTCTGGTTTGCTGCATTTTCAATGTATTTGTCCAAGAGTTTTACCCGTCTCCTTCATTTTCCGATCGTTTTTGCACCATTTCCTCCGGTTGTTGTCGCATTTTCCTGCACTTTCACTGTCTTTTTCCAACATGTTTACTGCATCGTCATAGTTTGTTCCTAGCAGTCACTCCGGTTTCCTCCATGTTCCAACAGATTTTGCATGGTTTGTTCCTAGCATTTTCCTCTGATCGTTATCATGTTTTCCTCAAGTTTCATTGTATTTTCCAATACATCCTCTTCGTGGGTTTTCAATATGTTTTGTCCAGCATTTTTTTACTACATGTTTCCTATCATTTTCACCTCTTTCCTCCATAGGTTTTTGCATCATTTCCTCTGGTTTCCTGCATTTTCATACCTTTTCAATATTAATATTAATCCAAGAGTTTTACCTGTCTCCTTCATTTTCCGATCCTTTTTGCGCCATTTCCTCTCGTTGTTATCACATTTTCCTGCACTTTCACTGTATTTTTCCAGCATGTTTACTGTATCGTCATGGTTTGCGCCTAGCAGTCGCTCCGGTTTCCTCCATTTTCCAAGGGATTTTACATGGTTTGTTCCTAGCATTCGCTCCGTTCTCGTCCGTTTTCCAGGGGATTTTGTACGATTTCCTCTCATCGTTATCATGTTTTCCTGCAGTTTCATTGTATTTTCCAATACATCCTCATGGTCTCTCCGGCCACCAAAAAGGCGGACCTAGGGGGAATCGATACCCCACTGTCAGCAAATTGCCTAGTGGTACATAATCCAGCAAAATGCTCCGTTTTCTCGCGCTCAACACAGGGGCACGGCGAGATTTCGTTCCCTTTCGGCAACCACCCCCCCCCACACCCCCTATTCTCACTTCGTTCGCAAACAGCAACTAGCCAGCTAGCTGGCTTTCGTAATATACTTTTCACCCACAGACTCTTCACCTAGAAACTCTTCTTGCACATACTTTTCACCCATATATAGTACTTTTCATCCAGAGACTCTTCACCCAGAAACTCTTCTTGCACAGACTCTTCACCCAGAGACTCTTTACCCACATACTTTTCACCCATAACAAAACATCAACAGGATTTCACTATGATTTCACAAGGATCCTTCTGATCGCATCAAGACACTGTAGGAGTCTGCTGGCGTAGAAGGCGACCAGCTACCTGCCAGGGTGGAGCCATCAGAAAAGTCCCTTCTCTGCATGAACGAAAGGGGCGAAAGCGATCACAGGTGCGAGATGAAGATAATTCATGAGGTCCATGTGATTCCATGGACAAAGCCTTGACAAGAAAAGGCAGGCCCTGCGACCCGACTTCAGATAGAAATGGAGTGGCTTTAGATGGCTTTAGATGGCTTACTCTTGGAGTCTTGGAGCACATGACAAGTTTAGCACGTTTTTTTACGTTTTTTTGCCAGAGGTAGCCACAAGCATAATCGTGGCCGCAACATAAATACAGCTTCGTGGCCGACTTGGTGGCACGGCGCGCCAAACCGAAATCTCCCAACTTTGTGAGATGCATATCCTTTCTGCTCTCCTAAGCAAGGCTGGGGGACCCAAGACTATATAGACTTTGACCTACTACAAACATATTCAAACTAAGAATTACAAGATATTACAAGAAGACTTGGAATGGAATTATCAAGTTCGGATTTTTGCTGTTGTCTGATACTTTGTGACAGGTCGGCAACACCATTGTATACCATAATCGTATATATTGTGTGTATGTATATTATAAATACGTACGTAAATTACGTTATTAGAGTTATATCATGTTATATCATGTCACTTTAAAATAAATACGAGCAGCCCCAAGCCAGTTTTGAATTGCACAGGGTCCCCAATGAACACTGGCTAGGGTCCCTGAGGTGAGGGGTCCGTGAGGGGTCCCCGAGAGGTCCCCGAGGGGTCCCTGAGGCCCGTGCCACATAGATGTTGTCGACCTTCAAATCTCCATGAACGACAGCAGGCTGCAAGGAATGTAAATAAACCAACGCCTAGAGCAGATCTGGCAGGATGCCAACAGATGCCAACAGATGCCAACAGATGCCAATGCCAACTGATGCCGATGCCAACTGGAAATCTGCTGGAAGCTGCTGGACATCTGCTGGGCATATCTGGACATGCCATGTGCTGAGAGAAGCAGAGCATACTTGCCTTGGCAATATCAAGAAGTATCTGAAGACGGACATCCTCTTCAGGATTCTCACTGGGTATGAACTTGGTGAGAGTTCTCCTGGTCAGGTGAAGAACTTGCAAACTACTACCATCTAGCGAGATCTCGAGCTCTGATCATCCTCACTCTTTGGGAGCGATGATTGATGAGCTAGTGCTAACAATTAATGTTGATAACTATTAAATATATTTTGATCAGAGAATCCATGTCTGCACTGCAGTGGACATGCGAGGACTGCGAGGAACAAGGTATGAAAGCCAGTGGGAAAGTCTTGGCGTTTCACAGTGCAATATGCTGCAATGCAATTCTCTCCACCCGGCATCGACCCGTTTCAGGCAGTCCCGGTCATCTTCTCAAAGACCAACATCAGTTCCAGACTCTCTGCATCCACCGTGGCTCCAAAGAAGGAAACCTAAGGGAGAAACAAAAACCATCATGAACTGGCCCAAAGCACTGTAAAACAGTAAAACACCATTTGAAAAATAATAATAATAAATATACTTGAAAAGATTGCTCTTGCAGTGCAAAGCTGGAAAGCCTTTGCAGAGCTCAGCACATGCAAATTTCATGTTCAACGCACAACCGTCCACAAGCCGTGCAACTGTTCAGGGTCGCTGCCACAGCAAGGCGTTTTTCCTTCACTTTCCAGTCACCGGTGGGTGAACCATGGGATGCCAATGGCTACTATAGGCTGCTCTTACACAGGAACTGGCTGCCCACTCACTCGTCCTTGGTCTTGGGCGGCGCAAGCGGAAACCAAAAGGTGGCCTTGCTCTGCCGGCGGCTGGGGTCGTTGGCAAGCGTGCTCAAATCAACCTCCAGCGTATCACCGGTACTCTTCATCCAGTCCTGCAAGTCTTCATCCAATTTCACCCTGCCCAAATTCTGGCGCTTCAACTCCGACCTTTGCACAATCACTTGTTCACCCAAATACTTCACCTCGACCTCGTCGCTCTGGAGAGTCTTCTTGAACCATGTCTTCCCTGGCAAGCGCACCACCTTCACAATGCCACCAGTTGGGATAGAAGGATTGGAGCCGGTGAAGAGGACCCGCGCTGCGAGTTCAAACTCCTTGCTGCGACACTTGCCATGGTAGCGCATTGCATTGGGATACTCAGAGCCAAGGTCAGTGGGCGCCTTCATCTGAAAGAGCTTCAAGGGATCCTCAGAAAAGGCATTGTGGAACTTGAAGTTCATGCCTTTGATGGCCTTGTAGATTTTGGACTTCCCAAAGTGCTCCGGATCCTGCTGAGCATCTTCTTCGAACATCTTGCCGCTATTCTCGAGTTCCTGCACGGTCATTTTGATCTTCTTCTCGGCTCCTCGAAAGTCGGCTGCAACAACTTGGAATTTATCTGGCATCTCATCACCAGGGCAACTCCAAGTGCATTTGTGCAGCCCTGTCTCATCGAGCTCATAGCTCAAATCTCCTGCGCAAAGGACCTTGCCACATTGGCCCAGCTTCATAGCATCAAGACCTTTCTCCGCCACAGCAGCACCATGCTTCAAGACAGTTGCACTCCCAACGAGGCGAAGTAGTTGGGCAAAGGCCTTCATGTCTTTCCCTTTTGCCTTCTGCAGCAGATCTTGAAATTCGGGGTGGTCTTTGTGAATCAGGTCTGGTCCAGCGGCCTTCAGTTGTTCCACACATTCCTTCAGCTGGTCAGCTTCCGGCTGTCCAAACTTGCTTCCAAAGAGGAAGTATCCCAACTTCTCGCGGTTGATCATTTCCTTTGAGCCCATGAAGGCACGGAAGTCTTCGGAAGTGGCTGCCGACAGATCCAGCAAACTGTGGAAACCTGTAGGCCTCCTTGGTTGGGTCACCGAGTCCCCCATAGACTGCTGCTGCGGCGATTCCAAGTCCATAGACTGCTGCTGGGGCGATTCCAAGAAGCTGCTGCCAAGGATCGCGTCGCAACACGGATTGTCCACACAACACATGCAACATATGGTTAGACACTCAAGGTCATTTGAATCTGCCAGCTCTTCATATGCTCCACGCAGGGTCTCGGCAAACTGAGAGCTCACGCCAAAGGTTTTCTCCAAGTCAACATTCTCCTTCACCATCTGGGCAATGGAAGCGGTAGACATGTCCACCTCGCCACTCAAAAGGCCGGCGCTGGCGGTGTCCACAGCAATGCGCGGCATTTTGCGAAAGGGTTTTGAAGACAAAGGGCGGGGGCAAGCAAATGAAAGAAACGGATAGTATCAACTGAGCCGAATGGGAAGCAAAAACAGCGCAAAACTGATCAGCTCTCATGTCAGACATCAGAGAGTTGGCGCGGATTCTGGCCCTGACCAAATCAAGAGCACCATCATGGCGCTTTAAGAAGCTGCACGATCAATCGTGATATGTCAAATTCTTCAAGCGGCCTTGAAGGTTTTTCATGATTCTTCTGTCGAAACTTAAGATGTGTGTCCATGGATGAAAATTATTTTAAGTCGATTGTGAGCTCAAAGCAACAAACCCATGTCAATAGATCACGCCTCGCTAAGCGGCAACAGACTCTGCAACAACGTTCAGTATATTTTCTAGACCAAGCAACAAGATTTGGATGTCGAACTTGTCGCAAGAGGCGCAGCTCTGACAAATAGTTCCTGACCACTGCTGACCAAACACATCTGTAATGCCTCCAATGCTTTCAACCGTCTTTGACAAGAATCTATCGGCGACAGGACCGAGGCTAGACGCAACGTAATCATACCCAAACATAACACCGAAACCCTGCAGAGTTCCATCCCCTTCCAGCTTGCAATGATCTGCGACGTCCGACTGCACCCTGTTGGCAGCTGCAGCAACAATAGTGCATTCAAGCATCATGAAGAGAATATATTCCCTGGACTCAGCATTCTGAAATTTGCAGTCTTTGATTCCTTTCCTGACAATTTCACGCAAACTCCAAGTGGCAGCCAGTGATGAAGCGCAATACTGCATGTTTGCCTCACACCTGGAAAATGGCGCTAACAACAATTCACCTTCAGAATCTGGTCCCACTGTCCCAGTCCTCGGAAACTTCAAGGCCACGGTTGCGCCACAGAAAGTGCCCTCCAGTACGAGGTTTGATCACTTGATACTTCATGCACCAAGACACATTGTTTGTTTCATGGTTGCTTCCTAAAGTTTGGACGCCCAAAGTTCCAAAAGCATTGGATCTTTGAATTTCCACAGCAATTAAATCCCGAAGACAGTTTGATCGGTTTGATCAGTTCCTATCCCGTGGTTTCAAATCATCTCCTGCCAATTTGCTCTGACCAGTCCTGGCTGCCGGCCTCACAAACGAGGCCAAAGCCACCAGAACCCAACAGTTTGGTGCTGTGCAGCTGGAGGAGCTCTGGAGGGATGAGCCAATGTTCTTTGTGGCCAATCTCCTGAGCACAGACAAAATGGAAGAGATTGGAGGAGCACCTGGATTTATATGGGTGGCCTGCAATATATGCCGGGATCTAGGACTTATCTGGGTGCAAGGCAATGGCGGAAGTTTCAAAGATAGGAAACCTATAGGAGAGGTGAGTTGGTGTGATTCATGCATGGCAGAGCGAACTGCTGGACCGAAGGTGGCTGAGGCTCTGAGTCTCTCTCTCTCTCTCTCTCTATCCATCAACCTATCTGTCTGTCTGTCTGCCTGCCTACCTGTCTGCCTTTCACCTGCCTTTCGCCTGGTTGCCTGCCTGCCTCGCTGGCTGGCTGGCTGTCTGTGCCTGTCTGTCTGTCTATCTGTTTGTCTGCCTGCCTGCCTGGCTGGCTGGCTGGTTGGCTGTCTGTCTGTCTATCTGTCTGTCTGGCTGTCTGTCTGTCTGTCTCTCTATCTCTCTGTCTCTCTGTGCATCTATCTTTTTATCCGACTATCTGTCTATCTGACTATCTGTCTGTCTATCTCTTTCTTTTTGTCTATCTACTATCTACCTACCTTCCTACGTACCTATCTGGAAGCAATTATGCGAGACTCTGCGAGACTTCCTTCAAAACTTCCTTCACAAATGGAAAGTGGAGTGCAGAGCTGACGGCCTCGCCAGTACCAATGCGTTTTGCGATTTTTTCCCACTCCATGTGTCTGAAGCATTGCGCTTGCCACAAAAAAAGTGAAGCCAAGTCATACGACGTGCTGCACCAGTCACACAAAATCACCTCAGCAAACTTGAAGATCTGATGCTCCGAAATGCACCCCGCCTCAGGAAATCAGCGCCCTGACCCCCCCAACATGTCTGACGGAGACGTGTCTTGTTGTACTGCGCCTGCCATGCAAAATGCATCTTTCCAGGTCCTCAAACGTCCCACGCCTGCCATCGTTTTTGAAACTGCTACAAACTCTCACGTTTTGCTCACTTTTGGTAAAGTGCAGAATCCCTTGCGCTTGCCACAGAAAATGGCGATTGAACGTTCAAAAGTCCATTGCGCGCAGCTTTTGAACATCTCAACTTCCAGAGGCGGTCCGACCCAGAGATGTTTTTAGCATTTTAGCACTTTGACTGCGACACGCGCTTCGCGCCACAAAGCGTGCACTTTTGAGCATCTCAACCTCCAAAAGTGCCCCGATACTACAGTGTTTTGAAATGTTTTCAACATGTTCACTTCCAAATATTCCAAATGCGCGTCGTGCCACACTGCCGCGCGCTTGTCGAACATCTCAAGTGCCAAAAGTGTTCCGAACATGATGTGCTTTGCACGTTTTGACTATGCACTTCGCGCCACACTGGCGTGCACTTTTTGAACATCTTAACTTCTAAAAGTGCTCCAAACATGAGGTGTCTTTAGCATTTTGACTTCAAAATGCGCTTCACACCACAGCGGCCTGCAATTTTTGATCTCTCATACGACCAAATGGCTCCGCACCTGCCGCTTTGGCGAGCCTACTTTTCGACCCTCCGGAGCCACACAACCATGAAAAAAACAGATTGTTTCGCTACTTTTGTACCTTTTTGCGCACCTTGATCTTCTTTCTGCTGACTCTTTCTCTTCTGACTCTTTTTCTTCTCTGACTGCTCTCACCACTGTTGCTCCACATTTCCATAAGTCGGAAGTTTGACTTCCAAACGTCCTTCGATCATCTTCGATCATCCAATTTCCTGTAAACAGTTGGGGCAGTATGAAGATCAGGTGATGATTCGGTTCGACTAAATTGGCTCGTCTTATATAATTATCCGGTGATTTTGTAGAGAAAGGGGGTCTACAGAATACAAATCCATCCAGGAGAATGGCTCCAAATGCACTACAAAATACAAGTCTAGGGAACCCAAAATGGCTGCCCACTACAAAATACAAAACAAAGATCATTAAAAACCACCAAGTAAGGGCTGTCTACAAAATAGATTGGAAAAAAAAATTGCCCCTTCCAAGGCTCGAAAGTGCCCAAAACAGGCTTTGTGGGGTATGTCCAGACTTGTATTTTGTAGAGAATCCACCTTGAAGTATTTTAAAAGTTCTTAAAACATCTTAAAACATCATAGTAAGCCCTTGTTATCCCTTGTTGTGATTCACGAATTGCCGTTTGTTTTCCTCCCCGCGGCTCCTTTCAAAAATGGCCCAGTTGAGATTTCTATTTTGTAGAGGGTGGAAGCTAGGTCCCAGACCAATAAACCCCACCAAAGCCAATCAAAACCCTGGGTCCCATTGCTTGGTTTTGGATTTTGTAGAGGTAATGATGCACCATCCTACCATGGCCCAGCTGAGATTTCTATTTTGTAGACGGGGGTGGCTCCAGGACTTCGACCTGATAGCGCCACAAAATGCCACAAACAATGAACCAAAAAACTCCTTGGGAGGACAAGATCCCAAGCCACTTGTGGTCCAAAAGATTGAAGAGTATGCTGCAAAGGTGAGAGGAAAAGGCTTCCATTTGGATGTTCTGGACGCAGCGCTTTTTGCAGATAACCATGATGCTATGCTGCATGTGGCCTTTGATCCTTTCCCAGGTGGTGAATTCAAATTTCTCAGTTGTGTTGAGTACTTCAAAGAAATTTCTCCAACCATAGATCTTGATGGGTCTTCAGAGCTTATCAGGGAATCTCCACACACCTGGTGCTTGGTCTCTGTTAATGCCAACTTTGACAACAAAGCTTTGCGCAACCACTGGGTAGAGAAGAAAGAGAGTAGGTAGCAAGGGAAGTCGATTAAAAAATAAAAGCGGGTGGGGGGGTGCAGGGGGGAGGGCGCAGCGCCTCCCCCCGCAATGCGTACCAAGAAAGAAGCACACAGGCTCAAGTCTCGATGGATATAAATAAAGATTAAGAAAGAGAAGATGAACCCAAAGAAACGATACATATGAAAAAAAAAGAAAGAGAGTAGGTAGCAAGGGAAGTCGATTAAAAAATAAAAGCGGGTGGGGGGGTGCAGGCCCTCCCCAATGCGTACCAAGAAAGAAGCACACAGGCTCAAGTCTCGATGGATATAAATCAAGATTAAGAAAGAGAAGATGAACCCAAAGAAACGATACCTATGAAAAAAATGAAAGAGAGTAGGTAGCAAGGGAAGTCAATTAAGAAATAAAAGCGGGTGGGGGGGTGCAGGGGGGAGGGCGCAGCGCCTCCCCCCGCAATGCGTACCAAGAAAGAAGTACATAGGCACAAATCTCGATGGATATCAATCAAGATAAAATGAACCCAAATAACCGGTGATGCTTATGAAAAACAAAAAGAATAGTAGGTAGCAAGGGGAACCGATTTAAAAAAAAAGCGGGTGGGGGTGCAGGGGGGAGGGCGCAGCGCCTCCCCCCGCAATGCGTACCAAGAAAGAAGTACATAGGCACAAGTCGCGATGAATATCAATCAAGATTAAATGAACCCAAATAAACAACGATGATGCTTGGGAAAAAAAAAAATAGTAGGTACAAGTAGCAAGGGGAGCCGGCTAAAAAATAAAAGCGGGTGGGGGGGTCAAGAGAAGGAAGCTTTCCTTTCATTTTTCAAGAGAAGGTTACTTCTTTCTTTTTTTTCTTTTTTTCTTTCTTTCTTTCTTTCGTTCGTTCGTTCGTTCTTTCTTCCTTCCTTCCTTCCTTCCTTCCTTTAGTTTTCAAATTTGTTTTTTTTTGATCCCTATTTGTTTTTTTTTGATCCCTCTCCCTTGCAACCAGGCATCCAAAAAGTCTGATCCGTGGGCGCTTGAAAACTCCGGCAGACCACTCGACAGGGGGACTCCTCAGCACTCGCATCACACCGCACCAAATTCAACAGATGTTGTTACATGCTGCTACACTTCAATACATGTCATGCAAATGCCATTAAATAACTAAATGATCCTGAATGTGTTGCTGCTCTGCTATCTGTCAGTTTGTGTCACCTGACTTCATAATCTTTGCAACTGGGATGCCTAATGAGTTGTGTTCGATACATGGCCCAAACCCGCGCGCCCCATGTTTCGGGCACTGGCAGACCCATGCAGCTGAGCCGTAGCGGTCAGAAGCAAATCAAATGAAGGAGGAAGCCATCAGCACCGCAGGTCAAATGACGGTGAAGGATAAATACAAATGGTGACCATTTTGAGTCTGGCAGCTGGCCAGCCTACAGAACAAAACAAATTAAACAATGACACTGCATATCCGAGTCAATTTTACCACAGCCCCAAACCAATGTGAGTTCCTGAGCATGTCATGCACTTCAAACCTTCTCGATGACGGGAATTGAAGCTGTTTCCTGTTTCGATGAATTTAACCGAATTTCGTTCTGCAAGAATTGGGAAGACATTTGAAGACATGTCTCGACTTTGATATGCGAACAACTAGCACAGGTCTACTCAGGCAAATGGTTTGTGGAGGAGCAGTTGCGTAGGCTCTAGAGAAATGATGTTTCTCTTCCAACTTGCTTCTGGTAGGACTGCAAAAAAATGTCTGCTCAGGGCAATGATCCGCGAATATCTTTCTGGCATCTGTCCGCTTTGGGTGGACAAATATGAGAAGAATTCGGAATGTCTTTCGGGCCTATGGCTGGTTCTTTCCAAATATGTCCTTAAATGATGGTTGCCTTGTTTGTAAATGTTAAGACTTAGCGACGAGCAGTTGGAATCAAATTGGAACCTCTACAGAAAAGCATCCATGGCCCATGGCCCATGGCACTCTCTTTGGCAGAAAGATGCAGAAACTCACGATCCAGCTACGTTGGCAACTTCCTTCCACTCGCCACCAGAAGACTCCTGTCACACACAAGCAGGATATAGCAGGATCCAAAAATATCCTCTACATGTGCTGCAACTATTCAGATCTATTCAGGATGTTCAGTGGAATTGTCTGGTCCAACCTGCACCCATTCGGTCCTTAAAAAGAAAGCATTTGTCGGCGTTGGCCACCACTGCCAGCAGTGTGCCTGCCTGTGATGTCAGTTGCCATCTGCTCGCTTGCTGCACTTTGGATGCACAACTAAAACATTCCAGTCACAATCACATTGGCAGATGGAACATGCTGTTATGCGAAAGTGCTTGCTGGTGTCAGCATTTTGGAGCAAAATGTGTCTCTTGAGTCTGTGTCGAACCAACATGGGCAACATGCAGAGCATTTCAATGGGAGGTTTGGCAGCATAGCATTTCTCACCGGGAAGAACTCAAAATATTCATTTCATCCTTTTTATTTTTTGCCCTTACTGTAAACGCAATCATTAGGAACCGTACTCAATGCTGCATCAACCACGCCTTCGTCCAGGCCAAGCGCTGTCCTTCGCCAACACACCACTGTTGTTTCAGATAGAAGGGCACGCCATCAGCATCCTCCCGGGCACGGCGCCGTGTACAAAAATGCATCCCCTACCAGGCCCTACTGGTCCATCCGCCTGCGACAGGATCATCACCACTCCATCCTGGGACGGTTGGAACGGGATGTGTCTGGGATAGTCCGATAGCCCCCCCAAATGGCAATTGTGATGGGAAAAATATGCGAAAATGATGATAAACCAGATCAACCATGGGATTTAGGGGATACCCATTTTCAGACAAAGTCTTATACTCTTAGGTTGACCGGTGTTTCACGACAGTAAAGCGACCAATGACCAGCAGGATTCTATTTTGCAATTGTTGCAGTTGATGACCTCCAGATTCTCCAGGAGCTGCAGGCAGGAGGTGATCATATTATATCATATTAATTAAATATCTCACTATGGTGAACATCCCGTAGAATCCCGTAGATACCTAAGAAAATCTAAGAATCCCCAGCTGCCCACAGATGCCTTGGAGACTGCTGCCAGGCAATTTCCGGGCAAACCAACGTTGGGCCGCCAGGAAACAGAACACCAGACATCCTCAGTGCATCTGTGCCATGGTCAAAACACCTGAAATTGTCATGTCAATGTCACCTTAGAAAACCGTTGATGTGCCGGGCAATAGCATAACCTCAATAAATATCACATCAACCATCATCAACCTATTGTTATAAACTAAAAATATTTAAATTCTGAAGCTCAAACGCTGGTCATCCTCTAAACTCTGAACGGAAATAAACCCAGTCTTCGGGCATGGCTCATGTGACTGTGTTATGGGCTAAGTATGTGACTCTCTGCTCCTAGGTGTTATGCCCCTGTTCAAGATACTGTGATAGACCAAATCGAAGAGTATTGCAAAAGCACGCTGAAAGACGCAGGCTTGAACCCATTCACGGGGCATGCCCATGCATTGGTGCAGAAGCAGGAACAAACCCTGACAGCGCGCTTACTAAGCACGGAACATCACCAGCAATCTGGTCTCCGTCCACCACATGTTCACGAAGAAACGAATCGGTCTTGGCATCAACACCTCAGTCCCGCGGATCTGTTTGGCAATGAGCGCTACATCTTCGTTCAGAACTTCACAGATGGCAGAAGTAATCCCATCTTGTGGTTTGAATCATAAAAAACATCATCCCAAGTGGGAGGGAGACACCAACACAATGATGGTTGGCCATATTAATATCCCTGCTTTATCATATTTGCTATCCCATTGTGATCCATTGTCTCAGGATACTGTATAGGTTGATAATCGTCATCCCCATTGCCATCCATTACCCACCCATTACCCACCCATCTTCATTCCATTATCAATCCATTACCAACCCATTGTGAATCCTTATAATAGAGTCAGTATAGAATCATTATCAACAATTATATTCTATATCCATCATCCAGTATCATCATGCATCATCCATGGCCATTAAATCAAGTGATTCGGCTAGATCATCCAGTCTCAACCTGAGGCACGCCAAATCACCAGCTGCCCATCGGCTCCGGAGGTTGCCAAACGCCTGGCCTTGGCCAAGGACAGCTGGGGATCCATTTGCAGCTCGCCCCACATATTTTATGTCAAGATAGGTCCATGATGGTCCATGATGGTCCATCGCTATCCTATGATCGCCTATTATCTGCCATGGTGGATTTTTTGATTTTTGGTTTCCCTTCCAGCCCATGGTTTCACCATGTTTTCCTACTCGGACCGAATTGGCTCCCTGACACCACCCAGCCAGCGACTGCCGCTGCTGGCTCTGGAGACTGCGGGTCCTAGAGTCATGAAAACATGCGTAGCCGCGTTGCCATTTGAAACTCTTCATCTATCCGAACTTCCATGGACGCAAAGCAATCAAATTAAGATGAATCAAGCAAAAAAAAATCCAACCCGCTTGAAACTACGGAAAGAAAGCAAGAGTATCAGCCATCTGGGGAAGCGTGGAATAGAAGAATCTCTGCATCCTCAACCTTAAAAGCCTTAAACCATCTTAATCCCATATCAAGACATTTAAAGAGGATCCAGCCTGTGGCAAATACAACTGGAGATGACGCTGAAGCCCAGCTGAGTGAGCTGATACCCCCACCGTGAGAAGGGATAGACTTCACCTGGAAGCAGCTGAAGCCATGAGACTATGAGAACCTGAACAGTTTCCTGTGGTATCCTGTGGTTCTGAACAGTTTCTGCAGCCATCCCCATGAGGTGGATGTTGGATCATCATGGATCATCAATGATCATCATGCATCATGTGCAGAGGACCTGGAATGATTCGCTTAGGCAAATGTATTAGAGAACGAAAACTTGGATGATTTCGTTGCACTTTATCATGATGGCTTCCAAGGCGTCAAAGATCATCAAAGCTACGCCTGCCAATTGTCTGGTGTCATCGAACCGCGCCGTAGCTCTACCTCAATATCAATTTTCAGAAGACAGGGATCTTTGATGTTGTTGGTTGACAAAGGTTTGTGCATATGCTTCGACTGCTTCAAGATGTAGTTGTTCTGTGTTAAAGTGCAGAATAAACTCACTCCATCTACATAAAAAGATCCACTCCAATGATCAAGGTTGATAGCCTACATGTTCAATCACGTTTATGTCAAACTGATGTAGCGCAGTTGGTAGTCGGTCAGACCAAACGACGGCCAGATCGAATGGAAGACCACACGACCGCTCTTGCGTGGTTGTTCAGTCGGTCAAATCGAGAGAGGACTCTGACCAAACAGCAAAATAACCACGCATCACATCCGTAGCGCCGTAGCACATCACATCTGTAGCACATCACATCGGTATATAGCACATCACATCTGTAGCACATCACGTCTGTGGATGTCTGTGGCACATCACAAAGTAGTTTGTCGATTTGGCACGATTTAGTCCTGAACCTGGCAAGCAAAAACCTGTCAGAACACACGCATTCGCAGCATATCATCGTTGAGGACTACAATAGTCTAAGTCCATTTTATTCCCTCGCACTAGTGGCAAGACATCACACAACCAGCCGCTGTTGATCTAAGTGCGAACAAATTCATCCCCTTCCATGCCATCAACGCACATCAGAAGATAATTTGATGCAGCGCAGTTGGTAGTCGGTCAGACCAAAGAATGGCCAGATCGAATGGAAGACCGCACACCTGTTCTGGCTTGTTTTTCAGTCGGTCAGACCAAAGATCGGTGGGATCGCATGGAGAATCACACAAGCACTTGTTGATTGTTGCCGTGCCGACATGTGAAATGTCCTGACCACAGATCGAGTCTTGACGAAGTCGAATTTGTTCTGGATCCAGCGCTGTCCTTTAACAAATACACTCTTTGTTTGATTCGCCAGGAGTTCAACAAGTGGAAGCAACGTGCATCTTCAATCATCTTCACATGTAGTGCAGTTGGTAGTCGGTCAGACCAAACGACGGCCAGATCGAATGGAAGACCACACGACCGCTCTTGCGTGGTTGTTCAGTCGGTCAAATCGAGAGAGGACTCTGACCAAACAGCAAAATAACCACGCATCACATCCGTAGCGCCGTAGCACATCACATCTGTATCCGCCGACCCCGGCAGACGCAAGGGGGAGCGCGCCAGGGAATAAGACATTTTCCGCCGACTCCGGCAAACGCAAGGGGGAGCGAACAGGCAGCACCGAGCGGCAGGCCCTCAGCATCAGCAGCATCAGCAGCAGCAGCCACCAGCAGCCACCAGCAGCCACCAGCAGCCACCAGCAGCCACCAGCAGCCAGCCGCAGAAGCAGCAGAAGCAGCAGGAGCCTCTGCAGCAGCAGGCAGAAAAAGTAGCTTGAATTAGCTGAAAAAATTAGTGAAGAAGCAGGTAGCAGGCAGCCAGTAGTCAGCAGCTAGGCCTCAGCATCCGGGAGCGAGCCTTGTTTAGAGCAGTTTCAGACGACACGTTAGGCACTTTTTGGTCACTTTTTCTTGGCCCATCCGTCCTTCAGTGCCATGGTGTTTTCCCGTCCGGGACCTACGTTTTTGCAGCAGCCAGCGGCAGGAGCAGCTAGCAGCCAGCAGCAGCCAGTAGGCAGCAGTCAAGACGGCAGGTAGCAGGCAGCCAGTAGTCAGCAGCTAGGCCTCAGCATCCGGGAGCGAGCCTTGTTTAGAGCAGTTTCAGACGACACGTTAGGCACTTTTTGGTCACTTTTTCTTGGCCCATCCGTCCTTCAGTGCCATGGTGTTTTCCCGTCCGGGACCTACGTTTTTGCAGCAGCCAGCGGCAGGAGCAGCTAGCAGCCAGCAGCAGCCAGTAGGCAGCAGTCAAGACGGCAGGTAGCAGGCAGCCAGTAGTCAGCAGCCAGGCCTCGGGAGCTAGCCTTGTTCAGAGCAGTTTCAGACGACACGTTAGGCACTTTTTGGTCACTTTTTCTTGGCCCATCCGTCCTTCAGTGCCATGGTTTTTTCCCGTCCGGGACCTACGTTTTTGCAGCAGCCAGCGGCAGGAGCAGCCAGCAGCCAGCAGCCAGCAGCAGCCAGCAGCAGCCAGTAGGCAGCAGTCAAGAAGCAGGTAGCAGGCAGCCAATAGTCAGCAGCCAGGACTCAGCATCCGGGCGCTAGCCTTGTTTAGAGCAATTTCAGACGATATGTTAGGGAGCCAGCAGTCAAGAAGTAGGCAACAGGCAGCCAGTATCCCCGTCCGGCAGCGCCGATTTTCTGTTCTGTTTCTAGGGTTTCAGAAGCGGCAGCGCCGATTTTCTGTTCTGCTTCTAGGGTTTCAGAAGCAACGTTAGAGACTTTTTTGGTGGGATTCTCGGACTAGTTCGTCCTTCAGGGCCATGGTGTTTCCCCGTCCGGCAGCGCCGATTTTCTGTTCTGTTTCTAGGGTGTCAGAAGCAACGTTAGAGACTTTTTTGGTGGGATTCTCGGACTATAGTTCGTCCTTCAGGGCCATGGTGTTTTCCCGTCCGGCAGCGCCGATTTTCTGTTCTGTTTCTAGGGTTTCAGAAGCAACGTTAGAGACTTTTTTGGTGGGATTCTCGGACTAGTTCGTCCTTCAGGGCCATGGTGTTTCCCTGTCCGGCAGCGCCGATTTTCTGTTCTGTTTCTAGGGTTTCACAAGTAACGTTAGAGACTTTTTTGGTGGGATTCTCGGACTAGTTCGTCCTTCAGGGCCATGGTGTTTCCCCGTCCCGCAGCGCCGATTTTCTCTTCTGTTTCCAGGGTGTCAGAAGCAACGTTAGAAACTTTTTGGTGGGATTCTCGGATTATAGTTCGTCCTTCAGGGCCATGGTGTTTTCCCGTCCGGCAGCGCCGATTTTCTGTTCTGTTTCTAGGGTTTCAGAAGCAACGTTAGAGACTTTTTTGGTGGGATTCTCGGACTAGTTCGTCCTTCAGGGCCATGGTGTTTCCCCGTCCGGCAGCGCCGATTTTCTGTTCTGTTTCTAGGGTGTCAGAAGCAACGTTAAAGACTTTTTTGGTGGGATTCTCGCTATAGTTCGTCCTTCAGGGCCATGGTGTTTCCCCATCCGGCAGCACCGATTTTCTGTTCTGTTTCTAGGGTTTCAGAAGCAACGTTAAACTTTTTTGGTAGGATTCTCGGACTAGTTCGTCCTTCAGGGCCATGGTGTTTCCCCGTCCGGCAGCGCCGATTTTCTGTTCTGTTTCTAGGGTGTCAGAAGCAACGTTAAAGAGTTTTTTGGTGGGATTCTCGGACTAGTTCGTCCTTCAGGGCCATGGTGTTTCCCCGTCCGGCAGCGCCGATTTTCTGTTCTGTTTCTAGGGTGTCAGAAGCAACGTTAGAGACTTTTTTGGGATTCTCGGACTATAGTTCCTCCTTCAGGGCCATGGTGTTTCCCCGTCCGGTAGCGCCGATTTTCTGTTCTGTTTCTAAGGTTTTAGAAGCAACGTTAGAGACTTTTTTGGTGGGATTCTCGGACTATAGTTCGTCCTTCAGGGCCATGGTGTTTCCCCGGCCGGCAGCGCCGATTTTCTGTTCTGTTTCTAGGGTTTCAGAAGTAACGTTAGAGATTTTTGGGGGGATTCTCGGACTAGTTCGTCCTTCAGGGCCATGGTGTTTCCCCGTCCCGCAGCGCCGATTTTCTGTTCTGTTTCTAGGGTTTCAGAAGCAACGTTAGAGACTTTTTTTGGTGGGGTTCTCGGACTATAGTTCGTCCTTCAGGGCCATGGTGGTTCCCCGTCCGGCAGCGCCGATTTTCTGTTCTGTTTCTAAGGTTTCAGAAGCAACGTTAAAGACTTTTTTGGTGGGATTCTCGGACTAGTTCGTCCTTCAGGGCCATGGTGTTTCCCCGTCCGGCAGCGCCGATTTTCTGTTCTGTTTCTAGGGTTTCAGAAGCAACGTAAGAGACTTTTTTGGTGGGATTCTCGGACTAGTTCGTCCTTCAGGGCCATGGTGTTTCCCCGTCCGGCAGCGCCGATTTTCTGTTCTGTTTCTAGGGTGTCAGAAGCAACGTTAAAGAGTTTTTTGGTGGGATTCTCGGACTACAGTTCGTCCTTCAGGGCCATGGTGTTTCCCCGTCCGGCAGCGCCGATTTTCTGTTCTGTTTCTAGGGTGTCAGAAGCAAGGTTAAAGAGTTTTTTATAGTTTTTTGGCGGGATTCTCGGACTAGTTCGTCCTTCAGGGCCATGGTGTTTCCCCGTCCGGCAGCGCTGATTTTCTGTTCTGTTTCTTTTTTTGGTGGGATTCTCGGACTATATCGTCCTTCAGGGCCATGGTGTTTCCCCGTCCGGCAGCGCCGATTTTCTGTTCTCGGTGTTTCCCATGGTCCGCTGCATTTGCGTCAACATATACCCATCAACCAACAGGGGTAACTTGGGTCAATGAAGCCAACCAAGTCGTGCATCCAAAGTAAACAATAAATACATGCAGATAAAATTATGGGACCATGTTGGACCCACGAAAATCTCCAGACCTGGGGAGTCTCAGAACTATGGATTTTAAATGTTACCCTCTAGTAATTTGTCACATAGCTATTGAAAATGGCCATAGGGCCTGATGAAACAAAGCAGAAGCAGTACAAAACATCACATATATTTAATTCAAACATATCAAATCCGCCCGCACCGAAGGTGCTGGGGCGTGATCGTCCGGATGGCACTCGTAAAAGGTTACAGGTTTACCTGGGGGGGGGGCATTTTTCGGCCAAAACCTCCTGTTTTTGATAGGTCGTGACGCTCGCCTTCAAAAAACACTGTAAAAAACAGTACGGAAGACACCTGTTCGTGAACGCGCCCGTCCAAAATCGGCAAGTGAAAAGTGAAAAAAACCCGTGTTTTTCAACTTTTTGACCTCAATTTTTTGGTTTGCAACATCTTTTTTTGCGGTTCCGCAGGTGGCCGGGCCCGGAGGCGGATTTTTGAGTTTTTGGACCCGTTTTCGGACTGATTTTCGTCGTTTTGTGATAGCAGAAACACTGGTTTTTACAGTGTTTTTCTGTTTTCTGCATGCTTGACGGCTAGCTTCAAAACTTCCAAAAACCTCGTAAATTACGCTGTTTTATGTTACGGTGTGAATGAAAACATCGTAAATACCAGTGTTTTTTGACGTTGGTTAAAAAAACACTGTAAATTACAGTGTTTTTGGCCACCTGACCCTCAAAAACAATGGTATTTGCAGTGGTTTCTGCTTCTCACCGCGCAAAAACACTGTAAATAACAGCAATTTCGCCGTTTTTTTCATGTTTTCGTTATTTTTTGAACTGCGTTGGTCCGCTATACATGGCTATCAAATTCTTCGCGTTTTTTTTTCCGACAATCAGTACTTTCGGATGTTTTTGGTCTCAATGGCCGACATCATTGGCAGTTACGAGCGGCTGCCCAACGATGCGGTGCGGGCGGTTGCCGTCGCGAAGCGACGTGAATATATTTCATACAAATCTACATATGTAAAAGACGAAAGCCTGAAAGTGCGAAGCACCGAAGAATCTTTATGAACATTGAGTTTGCTTACATGACCACATGACCATTCTTCCGGGGTCGGCGGCAGGGGCGGCAGCCCTTATATAGCACATCACATCTGTAGCACATCACGTCTGTGGCACATCACAAAGTAGTTTGTCGATTTTGCACGATTTAGTCCTGAACCTGGCAAGCAAAAACCTGTCAGAACACACGCATTCGCAGCATATCATCGTTGAGGACTACAATAGTCTAAGTCCATTTTATTCCCTCGCACTAGTGGCAAGACATCACAGAACCAGCCGCTGTTGATCTAAGTGCGAACAAGCTCATCCCCTTCCATGCCATCAACGCACATCAGAAGATAATTTGATGCAGCGCGGTTGGTAGTCGGTCAGACCAAAGAATGGCCAGATCGAATGGAAGACCGCACACCTGTTCTGGCTTGTTTTTCAGTCGGTCAGACCAAAGATCGGTGGGATCGCATGGAGAATCACACAAGCACTTGTTGATTGTTGCCGCGCCGACATGTGAAATGTCCTGACCACAGATCGAGTCTTGACGAAGTCGAATTTGTTCTGGATCCAGCGCTGTCCTTTAACAAATACACTCTTTGTTTGATTCGCCAGGAGTTCAACAAGTGGAAGCAACGTGCATCTTCAATCATCTTCACATGTAGTGCAGTTGGTAGTCGGTCAGACCAAACGACGGCCAGATCGAATGGAAGACCACACGACCGCTCTTGCGTGGTTGTTCAGTCGGTCAAATCCAGAGAGGACTCTGACCAAACAGCAAAATAACCACGCATCACGTTTTGGTAAGAAATAAATTAAGGTGCAAACCGCAAAGCTGACTTGTCTCCTTTAAGCCAGCCGAGGTATTGAGATTCAATACTTTTGAGAGTGGGCTAGCTTTGAAAATCCTCCTCTAATAATGTGCGTTTCAGTAGCATTCAGACACAAAACTCCAGGCTTTCCCGAGCTTTCCCCAGCTTCACCAGCCGTGACACAAGCACTGTGAGAACGCCAAGCTCATCGCCGCCGCCGATGCCCAGCATGAGATACGGCTCAGGCGAACTAAAGCTCAGGCACGTCACGGAGCCAGGCACAAACTTCTGGTGAATCATTCGCCACTCATTGCTTCTCACTTCCTGGAATCAAAATGACTCAAACGCATGGCTGATTTAGAAGACTGCTGGGGCATGGATTGGGAGGGAATAAATATGGATCGGTTCAGTTCAAGAATGTTCAAGATAAATCTTCATAAATCTTCATACATGCTGCAGAACTAACAAAAGAAACAAAACGGGAAATTCAGAGCAATCCCGTCTTGACAGCGAAAAAAATAATTGTATATATGGCGGTTGATCTAAATTCCTTTATCTGCAAACGGCCATTCTTGTATATTATGCATCTATGTCGATCGCTGTCGCCAAGGCGCATTCCAAAGGATGACCTGACCATCTGCGGCTCCGGAAGCCAAAAGAGATCCTTCGATGCCTTCGGCCCATGCCAAACACAGCACTGCAGCGCGATGCCCGCGAAGCTCAGCACTGCCAACGCGGACCTGGGGCGCATCGAATGGAGCAGGTTGGAGCAGGTTGCTGCAACCACTGAGACCATGGCTGTCCCATCTTGATGGGCGGTCGCAAGATACCTGGGAAAGTTGCCCCGTTGCGAAGATCTGATGTGGTGTTCAGTCGGCTACAAACAATCACAATAGGACGTGAGGAGACCCAGCTGGTGGCTCCTTCACTCAAAATGATTTTACGGGACAGGGCAACAGCATGCAACAGCTATAGGAATCCACCTGAACACCTGAGACTTTTTCACCCCAGGCCTGCCATGGTACTGGGCATCATTGGTCTGAGAGGCCATGGCAGCCACGTCCAGCAGCTGGGATCTGCTTAGAACATCTGTGAAGTTTGGAATCTGCGTGGGACGCTGAAGCCACTCCTAGCGATCCTAGTGACTACACGTTCCTACTAGTTGCATCGCTGCTCCAGCAGAATGCTGGGCACGATCCATGTTTACTACTGTAGGAATCCGACGAATATGATCAATATATATCAATATAATATGTGTTCGACTTGCCAGAACATGGCCAAGTTGTGGCTTTCTGCGCCAGTGGCCTCTCTGCAAGCCTGACTAGTCGAATAGTTTTGCTATGCTTAGATGTTGAGCCACGAAGCTTAGAGTTGCCATTCACGTCACTATGGAGCAGCCGATATCTTCGGAAAAAAAACAGGAAATCCATCTCAGGCAGGCAATCGCGGCTTTTCTTCAGATGTTCTACTTTGGTGAGTTTGTCCTTTGCTCACATCGTTCACTTTGGATGTGATCCCTGCCACCCATGGATCCCATAGAAGAACTGCACAGGTGTCTAGGGCAGCAGGGAAAGCACGGTCACTTCCCCGTGCTGCAACCATTTCTTTGTTGTGGCACGGTGAAACACCACAACTCAGGCAGCACTACGCAATTCAGGAGTCAAATGATCTCATTGATCAAATCATCTCATTCATCTGTCGGCAGCAAGGGTGGCAGGCACAGCACCATCATACATGAGAGGGGGGGTCAGTCTCAGATTTCGATGGTATTCTTCAGTGAATTACAGACAACGGCCATGGCAAGCACCATGGTCGCGACATGTAGAGGAGACCCAAGACATCCTTGTATGTCTACAGATATACAAGTAGTATTTGTTGGAAGGTTCGAATACCATGGTTTCTCTTCTTGCGGTCAATACTGAGAAACTGCACAGCTGCAATTCAGATCAAAGCTGGACATCTTCTCATCTTCACTGTCTTCTAGCAGCCCCTGCCCGAAGTGGAGCCTCATCTGTGGCATCTGGAATGGGATGCAGGATTCCATGCCTCAAGGCAAAAGGCTGTCACGAAGTGCGTGATGCAGCATGAAGCAAACAAGCTTGGGTGGAAATCGTCAATATTGCAACTTATAAATGGCAAGCAAAGATACACTATCAAATAGCCAGAACAATGCAATTTCAGACCTTACAGATTCCATATTTTGAAACCGTCGTCAAACATGTCAAACATGACAACCTCTTTGGTCATAAGAATCCAGCATCCCATCTTGTTTTGTTCCGGCATCTAGGCAGCCCGACACCAGCACGAGAATTGAACAAAAGAAGGCGGCAGAGAACATCACCTGATTCATGGTCCCGGAAGGGAAGGGTCAGAAAGGTCTGCTGTTCTCAGCAAGAATCAGCTGGGAAGAGCCATGATACAAGTAATTGCAGCAAAGGATGGGGAAAGATTGGATTTTGTTGGTGGTACAGCTAGTCCAAAGGGTTTCTACGACAAAGCTTGTCTCATCATCCTATGATGCCTTCATTTTTTTTGGAAGCCAAGCCTGTCCAACGACGCACAGCAGCACAATGGCGGTGATGCCGCTTAGTGCCATCCATCTCTGAGTCCTCACTCACCGCGGTAACACAGCGACTTCTTGGAAGGTTACCCCGGTGATGCCACTGAGATCCCGAGCTTTCCAAGCTCCATGCCACCAATGGTGACCACCCAGTTGGGGTCATCGTTCTTCTTGAGGAACATCTGGGCCGGAAAGGAATGTGGGTGTCTATTTTGGGACTCTGGATGAGCACGCACCTTCTACAACTCACCATGTAAGAGGCTACTGTAGTAGCCATGAAGCAAGGACATGCTGTCGAAATCCGTTTCCATGCAATTCTGTAATCGCTTCGTCTACAAAGCTAAGCCCGCAGCGATCCAAATAACCGCCATAACCACAATCACGACCCTAGGCCGAACCGCCATCTGGGTAAATCATGGAAAATCTGTTCGTGAGCAAAGAAGACTGCGTACACCCTCAGAGGGAGCAAGTGACTCAAAGAGCCACAAACGTCACCATAGACATTTTATGTAGCAAAAATGTAGTAAGATATAGTGTCCATCTTTGTACATAATTGTCGTTAATTGTCACTATAAATATAAATATCTATAAATTATGTAATTAATTGCTGTATATACTATACTTTCTAATACAAACTGTACAGTGACAATGATGACAATGATTGGACAGCCATGATGATTTGAATCGCCGGCCAGTGACAAACACTCTGGGTGCGATATGATGGCAAGGACCATCTGCAGTAGGAAGATCGCGGCATAGTTTATCTGAAAGTGCCTCCGCAATTTTCGACCCTCCAACTAAAACATTCAACCTGTCTTCCCTGGCTGCGAGCAGAGTACATAAGACTGCAATACAGTAATACACTTCAATATACTCTGATTGCATATCTTTGCACCTTCGGTGGTGTTTGAAAAGCGTCGTTGATAACTGCCAGAATGCTAGAAAGTCTAGGTGATGAACTGTGTGCGTCTTCGCTTTCTAGGTGTCTACAAAATTCTACAAATCTATATATGGCTTCGGCCACTGCCCAGTTGCGAAAGGTTCACTTGCAGACGCTTCTGAATGTCCCCTTCGGGTTTTGACCTCAGCCGGTCAAGTTACATCGATTGATGAGGTATGGTCATTATAGTCCCACCACCAGCCACCATTACAAATCCCTTGTACAGTCGGTCACGGTATATCTCTATTGTACCAGTATGATGTATAATGGGGATGGCCATCCCCGTTTATGGGAAAGTATTCCCAATATTTTGACCATGACAATGGCATGATGAGATGCACAAGCTCAACCATTTAGGGCCCTGGCAATCTGATGAACTCCCGCCATGGCCGGATTTGCGTGAGGTAGTGGCCATACCTTCATGCTCAACAGCTAAGCTAGGGCTGCTTGGTAGTTGAGCCACACTGAAAAATTGAAAAGTCATTTGGGATCATCATCCTAACTAGAGTTGAAAATTTGAAAAAATAAACCACCGACATCCACCGACTAGAAGAGGTTGAAATCTGGAAACGATCAATCAATTACTTGCACGTGGCTTGTTGGCGTGCCACCTCCTTCTGTCCCAGCAACACAAATGATTCAAGAGCCAAGTGTAGCAAACTGATCTTTGTCGCGTAGCGGGAATTAGCAGCCGTGGAAACTTTGTGAGCTAAAATGTGTTCCCTTCACATCCCTTCGCTACAGTTCCCTTCCAAATCTAAGAGTCCGTAGGATGAGTTTCAATATGGGCATCCTGTTTCCGATACGAAAATGTTGAGCAAGCCTCTGGAGGCCAAACTACTAGGATTCATCCACTTCCCATGGAATTCCAAATCAAATTTGCTGGAATGGTCACAAAAATGTAACCTCAAAAGCTCCAAGGTTTCACTATGTTTCACTGCCTGAGCCATGGAGAACATCATATCATTGAATCATCTGCGCGAATGGATCCACACCAGCTCCACTGCTCCAAGTTGCTTCAGCTTGAAGGGCTCAATGGCCTGTACAAGCGAGCGGAGGCAAAGATTCAGTTGAAAGAATTCGAGCTGAGTGAGGTCAATGTTTAAGCCTGTTGCAGCAGTACCTTCTATATTTAGAAATATTCAGAGTTTGTGTTCGGTTCAAGTTGATCAGAAAATGCAACACCTTTGGAATGTCGCGGGCCAAGGACCGAATAACGTTTAAAAGAACGCACATTGCCACATTGCTGTCACTCTGATTCCATACTCGGCATATCTCAGCAGCCTTCCGCAGCTCCTCCACTTGCGACAGAGGCGGCTTCTCTCCATCCATCGTGCCCTTCGCTCAAGATCCGGAGCAAATCATTCATCACCCCTGGGATCCTCAGAGGGATCCTTGTTGGAACAGGCTGCCAAGCTGTTAAACATTCCAAACACACTAAGGTTAAAATTGTGATATTCCAACGCACAAAACTGGAATCAAGTTCTCTGGATTTGCAAGAGGGGCTGGCATATTCTGATTAATTTCCCTGTTTTGGTGCTTTGATTCCCAGAACTAGACGTGTCACTTCTTGAGGACAATGACTATAGAGGCCAGCATGGAGGTTCAAGAGGAGGATGCTGATTGCAGTGTAAGGATTTTGATAGCGAGAATGACACCGGAAGATAAGTTTCAAACATCTCACATTCATCCAAGATATCCAAGATTAATCCTGGGCCCCAAACGCAGCTGCCATGTTTGGGGCCAGTCCAGCTCGACCCAACCTTCACCCCAGCTGGAAGTTCAGCTCCGAGCTTCTCCTAGGTCCAGATGTTCAACAATATTCAACAACAAAAGTCTGCCCAGAATTCTGGGATTCCAATTTTGGGGATCTTGGACTGCACGAAGTCTGTGTTTTCATACTTCCGGAAATCGATTGTTTGGCAATCTTCCTTGAACCCTTTGGGAACACACTTAGCATCACCATTTCTTTCTTGCAGAGCCAAACCCACCATTCTTTCTTGGCCAGGTTGGATTGACTAAGGAGTGCTCTTTTCTATTCTTTTCTCTCATAAGGAGATGTTACACTTTCCGTAAACGGTTGACATTGAGTCCATTAAAGCGAAATGAAGTGGATAGATGACACATGATGGATAGATGACACCACTGGTGTCCCACGCCCGGAGAATCCGAAACTGAGAGCTGGGCCGGGTCTGGCGTCATCGCTGTGCTACCGCACAATGGCCTGGAGGACACCATCTTTCCACTCACTGGGTTTAAACAGCATCAAACGACCGGGTGTTGTACCATCCCAACCAGAGATTCTTGATATGTTCCCTTCTTACATCTTCTTACATCTTGTTACTATATATCTATAAGTACTATAAACATCTATAAACTGTAAACATCTATGAAGCAATTCTGGAAACATCTCGGTCATCCAAAATCCAAAAGCTTGTGGAGAGTGCCAGTGATGCTGAGGCTCCGTCGCTAAGCTGTGACTCAACGGTAGCTTTTGCTGGCCCCTGTTCTATGAGCCAATACTGCTGGTAGCCAGTAGCTCAACGGGATGAAGAGTAGATGACCTGCAAAATGTGTCTAGGAAAACAAAACATATTTCATGTAGATCACAAAATGTTTGAGATTGCATAGATAACCAGTCAAAACAGTCAAAACTCCGAAGTCGCACATTTTGAGCAAGTCAGAACTGAGGTGAAAATGCAATGCTGTCGTGCACGTGTTACACGTCCAATCGAGCAACTGCACTAGCAACTCAAATCTGAGAAACATTGGCATTCACTTCTAGCAAGTGACAGGCCTGAAACAGAAGTGCTAGCAAATTGCAGGGGATGTCGAAAGAATCAAGCATATTCGCAGCAGTGGATTAGTTTCCTGCCAACACGTACATCCTTTGTTGGAGGTTAATCAATCTCCTCCAACATGTCAATGCTAACATCTGAATGACCATGGCAAACAATGACATAGACCTAACATATCCGAAAATCCTGGGGCAGTTCCAGCATAGTGGCACAGTGAATGTGAATGAAAGCTGCTTTCAGGGCCAGCTCACTCATCTAGCTGCAGCCTCACCTGGCCAAAATCAGATGCTTTTTCCGCAGGACTGTGCATGGAAATTAATCCAATGCACGCGACCCCAAGTTCATCACTGACAACATGTAGAGACTTATAGAAGTCGTTCAAAATCTGCAGGTTTTTGATGGTTTTGCCACCTGCAAAACCCTGTGCTTCGCCTTGGCCAAGAGCTTGTGAATCATATTGGCTGCTCCATCCGCTGCTTCATGCAACTGCCAAGTTCGGGCCACAGGTTTGGCTGGGCGGCTAGATTCAATCTTGCGGTGCAAACTGATGTCTCTCCACAATCTGACAAATACAAGCAAATATGTATGTTATGTTATATTATATTAATATAATAATATTATATTACATTGTATTATATTACATTACATTACACTATATTATATTATATTATATTATATTCTATTATATTCTATTATATCATATCATATCATATTATATATATATAGTCAAAATGTCTGTTCCCGGTTTTGTTGATAAATCGCAATTCCATGCGTGCCGCCTCATGTTTGCCTTTCAAGAACATGACCTACCTTGATGACGTGAAAACGTGGAAATTCTTCGTTACCTTTGGAAATCTTTCTAAAACCACAGGAATCGGCTAACGCACGTCGGTTTTCATTCGCTGTCGCTGGTACTATCTCCTGAACTGTGTGTCTCTGTGTGTGTGCCTCTCTGAATGCAATATGCTTCTTGACATGCCTCCTGATCAACGCTGTTTCCTTACTGTAAGCTACCAAAGCATGAACATGGCTGTGCCTCTGAATGAGCTGCGGGTGGACCGGGGCATGTATTTGCAATTTTCGCTAGCGCGTTGCTAGCGGCGATCTAGCGCGTAAAATACGTAAAAAAATCGAAAATTTGGGAATATGTGGAAACTGACAGACTTGTAAGAAAAGCTGGCAAGACATTCACGACATGGAGGCCATGGCTGTCAATCAAACCTAGCGCAAACCTAGCGGGTTTGCTAGCGCTGCCTTGCAGAATTGCTGAATTTAGTTGCGTGCCGCCTCATAACGAAGAGGAAAAAACAGTAGACCCAGATGAATTGTCAACAACCAATACTAAACTTCTAAACAACTATTTTTGACAAATGGTCACATGCAAACTGTTGTTCTATTGTTTCTGCTGGACTCATGACCAAAGTCGTGACCGCTGTGACTCCTGCTATTTCGATTCTGTGGTCAATGCGTCAGTCTCGGCATGATACTTCAAGCAGAGGCCAGCCTTCCACTTATCGATGGATTCTGGGCCAGACCCTGGACCGGCCATCATGGCTAACTTCATGTTCTTGCTCCTGAGTTGTTCCACAAAGAAGGGTTCCGATTTCTTACGTACCTCTGAAGCATGCAAACCTTTTTTTGCCACAGGGTTCTGACGGTTGGTTGCCATTAAGAAGCATTGTAGCGGATCGAAATCCATTCAAAGGATGCCCCCAAATTGAACCTCTCTATAAACACGCTACACATGGCCAAAGGACGCTCCTAAATTTGGTGCCTATGGAAGATGTCAAACGTAGATGGATTCCGATGAAATTCCTGCACACTCTACTACCAGCAATCTGCTTAGCTCTGCACTCGAATGAGATCAGCAAAGGCCAGTTGTCCCAGTTGTCCATTAGCGACATGTCCTCTGCAGGTTTCAACATGTTGCGACATGCGACCCTCAACATGTTGCGACCCTCACCTGCATGTATGTTGGGATGAGTCATTGCTGTGTTCTCAACCTGCATTCCTGGAATCCCAAATGCGTGACTGCATGCGGTTAAAATCTTTGCCCCATGCTCGGGCGTCCTGAACAAAACTGCTATAGCCCTAGACTTTGATACCTTAGGCTCTGCAATGGAATCGGACAAATTGCGAAGGATTCCAAAAGTCGTTGCTTTATCACTAAGGGCAAAACAACTGCAACAGGAAGACCCAAAACAAGTAGTTAAATATTATAAATATTTATAATTTATAAATATGTTTACTGTTTAATCAAAGTTTAATCAAATGAATCGTACGTATTTCTGAGAAAATCTGGTGCTATCCATGGGATCCAAACTCCGCCGTTGGCCGTGGCACCGGCGGAACAGCCAGGCCGCAGCCTTGTGGGTGGTCCAGTGGTTCAACCGTTGAAACCGTTGAAACCGTTGAAACCTTAAAAAAGTCTTTAAAAGTTAAGGGCTGATAGACAGTCTGAACATCCCTAAGTGGCAATAAGGCTGGCGAACTGTCAATGTTGAAAAAATAGTACTATATTGGACTATATTAAAGGAAACAAGAAAGTGGGGTGCCTCGTAAGTTGCTTTGGAAGGACCCATGCACCACCTTCATCCAGCTTTCCGAACTGCTTTCGCAAGGCTTTGGCTGCCTGCCATCGCAATTCATGGCACATTGATGGCTTCCCACGGTCCCATGGCGAAGCTGACTGCGCCCCGGCCTCTGTCATGGTGTCCACACGTGGGTCGACCACTTTTGAGGCCAGATCCCTGGGCCAAGGTCGCAAAACTTTCATTTGAGTCCTGGAAACAAAGGGTTCATAAGGTTTCAAATGCTTACTTCAAAAGATAAGACTGCACCATCTCCAGAACCCCGGGCCCCACAGTTACGGTGCCCTTTTTGTCCGGGGATCTGCACCTCCTCCACTCATGGCGCAGCACCCTGGAGGCAGCCGCTCCTCAGGTTGGCTTCCTGCCAACTTTGTGGGGAGCATAACACCGTGAAATGTGTTCCTCCCAACCATCGCACGATCTCCAAGAACCAAATGCTGATTTCGACCAGTTATGTGATGCAGCAAACAGAAGCTTGGCTGCCAGTGTCCGTACTTTCATGGAGGATTTACGTTACCTCCCCAACCCTCAGTCCAGAAGACCCTCAATTAAGGACTTTGCTTCTGGATCAACCTGGCCATTGTTTCAGGTTTTCACAGAGGGCCCCAACGCTAATTCTCGAAGTAGTGAGATGATCAACGATCATCTGAAAGATGTGTGCAATACCCTAACATGGCCAGCTCTAAAATTCCCTTCTAATTCTACTTAATTGTTCTTAATTTCCCAAACGTATTAAAACGTATTACCATTTAACGTCAAACTATTTCCCCATCTTAAATCACCAGGGGGTAGATTCCCATCCAGATCTGAAAAGGTGAGCATGGCCCTGTCGAACATCGTCAATGGCCAGTGAGGGATGGGGATAGGGAATTGGATGAAACATTGGATGAAACATTGGATGAATGGGGTACCCTATTTTCAGAGAAACCCATGTTGGTGACACAAATACTGTGAATGCAGCTCCATGTCTGTCCAAAGTGTGCATTTTGCGGCTTGAAATCCCACAGTTCGCTGGCGAACAATAGTAGGTTTTCTGAGCGGCTGCAGTGCACGTGCTCGCTGCTATGCTTTGAGCAGCTTCAAATGGCCTTTAAATCTACAAAACAAATCTATCAGACCTAGGAGCTACATCCTAACTACTCTTGCCGGTTTTCTGCCCGTCTCAGCAGCCAAATACAGACCAGAAATGTCAGAAGCATCACCACATGCCACCTGGGAGTTCAAGGCGGGAATCGGGACAGCACAAGCCCAAACAGGCGCTTAGAGTTTCTGAGGACTGTGCAATCGAACCTGGCCAAGGGTTGGATGCAGAGCAAAAACTGTTCTGTGGGGATGTTAGTGGACAGCGACAAGGATTGGATATTAAATCAATGACAAACTATGATATGAAATTGCAGACCCTTCATGTTCATTCATTTTCTCCAAGAGTGTCTGAGTATCTCTTCAAGTGGGGAAGCCAATGGCTTTGGGGGTTCCCTAATGCTTCTACATATGTTTGAAGGATCATGAAACAAATCCACATCATCTAGATTCAAATCCATTTACATCCATTCCACGGATCAAGTATCAAGCAGATCCCATCTTTTTGACCATTTTCAACCCCATTTCTCCTCGCAAACCATCTTCAAACTGCCAGTCCCCAGCCTCTTCCAAGTGATGCAAGCCACGCGAACGCGATCCCCATGGGAATGAACTCCATTCCCGGAGGAAGGCTCTTACCGCCCCAATGGCCTAGTCGTGGTTTGTTCTCATTATGTTTCTCTAGAGGAATATGGGGGTTGAAATGCTGAAATGTCGAAAACCATCACTGAAACTATTAGTGCTCACATCGTTTAACTAAATGTTGATATTTTTCACAATTCATATTAAAACAATAGAAGGAATAAAGACCCATGTCAGCCCTGGTCGCACAAACTCCATCAATGCTCTGCCGCTGAGTCAATCGCCATGATTCACTCGGGTGGTTCCATTTCGACGACTTGGAATCCGTGCGGTCACAAAGCTTAACAGCCCCGGCAGCAGCAAAAGACCTCCAGGTGAACGTCACCAGGATCCACCAAAGAACATTTGCAATGGTCCACCATGTCCACCATGTTGTTCAACTTCGGGCTCTTTCAACACGTAAACTCTTCGTGTGATCTTGCAAACCCGCTGCATTCCACCATTGAATCGGAACATCCGAAAAGGGGTTGCCAACAAACGATCACTTAGGCTGCAGTCTCTGGACGTCCCTCTAATTTGACCAAAGTCATACTTACTTTGTTTGGCGCCAAGCCTGCTGCACGCAGCACATTCCGGAGCTTACCAGACTTGCGCAAACCAAGAGGAAAGAGGCGCAGAGCCTAAGATTCCACACCCATTTCTTTAGTGTGATCTGAGTGAAACATCCTGATACCACCCAGTTTCTTACCTCTGTGTTCGTGCTAAAGACCCAGTTTCCGTGCAGCGATCGCAACTGGCAAAGACTTCAGAGCTGCTTTAAGCTGCCAACCTCAGAGCCGATCCCTGCAGTAACCCCCGCCATGGGGCACACCTCAGGTCAGCGCTTCATCTGCACACCATATCACACCATATCTACACATATGGCTATTGGTCGAAACCAGGATGCCTGCTAAACCCCAAAATAGATTTAAAAATAGCCGCTACAGTGATGTAATTTGGGTTGGGCGTTCTTCCCCCAAAACTTGTTTTAACAGGTTCTGATCCATAGCCATATCTGGGCCAATCTGCGCAGCTCGACTTCTTGAGCTCTGAGATAAGGCTGGAACGATGCGTAGGCATTGTGGAAACGCCTTGGCCCAGGCATGTGCTACTCAGCCTACAAGCACACAGCATGGTGCAGCATGCTGTTTCCTACCAAAGACTGTTTGCTCTTCCAAAAGGCTGGAGGACAAGCTTGGTGACATTCTGGAATCGTTTGAAAAAGCGTGTTGTATAGAGCTCACAGCATCAATAGATATGCCAAGTGGCCACAAGAGAAGGAAGTGATGCCGAGTAGAAGTGATATGCTGCCTGGCTCTCACCATACGTGGGAGACGACCAGCCACTTGATTGATCCTACCTATTGAAATCTTGGGAACCACAGCTATCCACTCCACAACTTTGTGTAGGATGTGTAGGATGAACTAGTTAACGAGTTGCCAAATCTTTGCAAAGGTGTCTGTTTTGCCATCCTGAGACATCATACTCTTCTTGCTTCTCTAGCCACTCTTTGCAATGTGATGCACACCCTGGTCCTGCCTTTGGCATACCAAAATCAAAGACAATCAGCTCCGTTGCAACCTTGGACTTTGAGCTTCGGAAGTGGAAGAAACAGATCCATTGGATCCATAAAGCTAGTGGGATTCCCCAGGGCTCCCCCACTATACCTGCCATGTAGGCAATGCATATTGCTGCAAAGGCAGATCCGGGTCGAAAGAGTGAAATGCCCTGGCTGTCGATCCTCACAAGCAACTAGCCGTAACTAGCCTACAATTGGACAGCTGACACATTCACTGATGACTCATATGACTGCATCAAATCGATATGATTCCCTGGAGCATGTTGGATCCAATGAGAAATCCCCAGCATGCCCCTGGTCCTGGACGCAGCCTGGCCAAGTGCAACGTCATCTGTGTTCGACCGGGTTGGCTCCACATCAAGTAGCAGCATTTTGGCTGATGTTGATAAAGTTGTTTAATAAACCCCCAATTCGGCAGGCCAATGATTTTCCAAGTTCTATATAGCGAATCTGCCAATGATTCCACAGCGACCCGAATCTTGTGCTTAGACCTTCTCAGCCTGCTCGCTAGCTCGCCGAGCAAGGGCACTTTGCCGAGGTCTCAGTCCTGTGAAATGTCGGAAATGTCCAAATCCAGATCCGCATCAACTCTGTGAATCCCAATTTGTCGATGATTGTCATTCCGAGTCGTTCTTGGTTCTTGGTTCTTTTCATTTCTCTATACTCTAATATACTCTATATATTCTTTGTGATTAGTGCTGTGGGTGCAATGACATGCACCTTTGGAACATGAAGGTCCTGGTGATGGAGTGGACCATGCACAAGGTGAGGCCAACAGAGCTGCCAGCAACAACCAGCGCCGCAAGGCAGACATTGCAAATATGTGCTGAACAGATCTACAGTCTGTAAACAAGGTGTGTTGAGGATCTTTTCCGCAAAGTTTTGCAACTTGTGTGATCTAAGCTAGACAAAGGGTGATCGTTTCAACGTGTTTCAACGACTGTAATTAGACATAGCATACAAACCAAGTGAACTGAGAGTCTGCTTCATATCTGGTGACAAGACAACTGCGATCATGGCAATCGAGCTCTGTGCTGAAACTCCAAAGAATTCGTTTTGAGCCACAAGGACAACTGCGACGAGATGAGGTCGAAACAATATGACACAATTTTGGCTTTCCAAAAACGAGAAGATTCCACAAGATCCACAGAATTCAGATGAAATTCATACGAAATTCAATGAAATTGACACCCCTTAAATAATGAATCATAATGATACCCACTGTTTTCGAATATGAAATTCACACACTCTCAGCATCTCAGCATCTCAGCCAAGCTGTGGGCCCCAAACCTTCCAGGACCACCTTTCCTGGCCAGGTGCCATCGCTGAATCAGAAACGCTTCGAAAGAAGCGTCCCCCAAGAGATGGTTTGCAAAAAATGGAGGAACGAAAAAATAATGATTATAAATATATAATCATATATATTATATGTATATATATATACTATCTATTAAATCTATTATAAGAAATATTAAAAAAATAAGATAATCCACAATTTTGGACGGTGAAACTTTGACTTCGCCCTACCCTGATTCCAAACAGCATCTCAAGTGTTGCAGCGCCTGGCCGCGCAGAAGTGCCTGTCCAAGATCGAAGACTGTCACCTTCATCTGCCCCGGCTTGTTGTCCATGACGCCTGACAGCACAGTTTTGGCAGTTCAAGATTTGTCTTAGTGTTTTTCTTACTTGCAGTTTCAGGAATGATTTAAGAATTTGAAGACATTATGATTGTCGTCCTAGAGTATAGCCTAGCTAATGCAGATAACAAGACCGTTCTCTCCATGTGCGCTACATGATAAAGGCAATCTCCACACTCAGAAATATCTTTTGTTCAACTTCTCTCTGAACCAACTGCCTGGACTGCTTTCGGCGGCTATGCCGCCGCATCACGTTGGAGTAGGTAGATGCTGACAAAAGACAAGCTAGCAAGATCTGACTTTTGGATTCAAACATCTCCAGCCATGGAAAATTTTCTTGAGAAGTGATCATGATTGAATCCATTGGTTGTCAAGCTATCACTTCAGATTGGCCATTTTGTTGAGCCCAAAACAGAAAGTACCACACATGGCAGCTGCTCCTTACAACAAACTTCTCAAATTGTTGAAAGTGTGACCAACTCTGTCCACAACCAATCCATTCAACTTATCCAGCAATGAATTTGGCGAGCATTTCTTCTGCAGGCTTCCATCTTTAACTTTTACATTGGTTGAAACAATTCTCTTGGGTCCTTCGTACAATCAATCAATGCAACTTTGGCAGTGAAGGTCGGCAGGCTGAAAGGAATACCTGACAAAGAACTGAATTCAAAGATATTCCAGCACTCAGCCGCTCCGCAGTACAATTTGGCTGCATGATTTGAAGTGGAACACGACCAATACAACCATGGCTAATCGTTGTGTTTCATCTCAAGGCTTGTTAAATCAGACCCCCATGGAAAGCTTTGCCAAAGGTTCAGAACGTCGCGACCTCAGCAACCAGGAGCAGTACTTTGACTTTGCATCTCGCTTCATCTCACATGTTGCTACACCGGAATAAAATAAAGCAACCCTTTAATCCCAATTAGCGGCAAAAACAGGGAACATTCATAGACTGTTGTCGCGTGTTTGGGTCATGTGATGCGTTACTGTCATGCATAGACTTCTGTCGCACTTGCCAATCCAGCAGAGACTCAGGGTGGCACTGCATGGGCTGCATCCAAGACGCATGCGGCACCGTGTCCCACTGCAGCTTGCAGGGACTCCGCAGCTTGCAATATTTCTGGTTTGCTTTGTGCCGCTTCCTTGCGCTGCCGTGCGGCCCAGGGAGGCCCAGTGGGGCCAATGCACCAAGCCGACAGTTTGACACAGCAGGTCTAAAGGGGGGCGTTGACAGGGAAGAAAGCTAATCAATTTACACCTCTGCATGGAGAAGTCATGAATACATATGAATACGCTCATGTGTCAATTCAAGAATTCGAACAAAGTGTTTCATAGATGAAGTCAGAGCGCGTCAGTGTCCAGTAAGATCCGTTCAGCCTGAGGCCCCTGGCAGCTGCTTTCAACAGCTTTGGAGCCAAGTGGAAAATTGCGCCCTGCCCCCGTGCTGAGGCAGGCTTAGGAGCAGCCAGTTCATCTACCAAATACATCCAAATACATCCAAATACCTATTCCAGCCAGCACTTTCGGAAAATGGATGGAATAGTAAACGAAATGCATCAGTCCATGGTCTCCATAACCTGGAACAATCTGGAACAATCAAATTCCCTATAGCACGGCTCTTGGGCGGATATCATGGAAATCCAAGCATGGCAGCAGTTTACAGTGGCCACCAGCTGCCTTCTCTTCGCAATGTATTTTGAAATTCAACCGGCATAATAGCTGGCAACAACACTCCAACCTGTGAGGACGTCCAGACATCGTTGAATCAACAAACGTTCTGGAGCTGTTGGCGTTAAGTGACTGTTTACTCCCCTCATATCCTGGCAACAAAATCCGTGTACCTGACCTCTGCTGAAGCAATGCACTCGGCTAGGATACGCATCTGCAATCGGACAGATTGGAGATGATTGGAGATTGAGCAATGTCACTTGATTTCAGCTATCTGAAACTTCCTACCATCGAGAGTCTGATTAATTCTCAATCGTGAACACAAGCCGGAAAGCCGCCTGTGCACTTCATGTACATCATTGTATGCATATGTTGGATTCATGTGTGTGTGTGTGTGTAAGAATCTGTATATATATATATACACATAATATAGCACAATTATATATTATATATAATTAATATTATATATTAGGTGATTTACTATAACACAATGATCAGGATGGTATGAAGATTGAGGTATGATATAATGTAACTATAGTATCCCTACTACAGTGGTTCGGATACGCGTTTCTTCGACTGAGACTTGAAGCTCTCCTCGTCTTGAATTGTCCCCCTTGGCCGAGGATACGGTCTTTTCACCTCCTCAGGTGGGAAGACACGTTCACAGCCGGGTGCAACCCTCTTCACGTGAGAACAGGGGTCAAAGATAGGACGCTTTATGTCAAATCAGCTGTTCGAGGCCGTTCCATCAGGTTCCAAGTGACAGATCGATTCAACGCTCTGTCGCTCCTGCAAGTGCCTTTTCTCCTGCTGCTGTCGCTCCTGCTCCTGCTCCTGCTCCTGCTCCTGCTCCTGCTGCTGCTGCTGCTGCTGCTGCTGCTGCTCCTGCTGCTGTTGCTGTTGTTGATGCTGTTGTAGCAGCTGCAGCTCTAAAACCTTGCGAACCTGCCAGCAACTTGCAACAAATTGCTGGCCTTCTGTAAATGGTGGTTGTCACAGTCACCAGTCACCTGATTTGCCCACAAATCTCCGCCTGTGCCAGAGCATCTGAGTGAGCTTCAATCTTCTCAGAGAGCCTGGCCACCTGATAATCAGCAACTGAGTTTGAAGCACAGAAGCTTCCAATCTCTTTGCTTGCAATACGGTGATGGCTTTACTTTCTTCATCAGCTTACCTTCTCGATGCATCTGAACTTGCTTAACGTTGTCGTTTGTAACTTTAGTATTACTGGCTCAGCACCAAAGGGTTCAGGACCTACATGGCAAGGTGCTGACACTTTATCCACTTCTCCTCCATCTCACCTGATCTCCCAGCGCGGGCAATGTGAGTTCGCCAGCCTGCGTAATTTGGAGACTGCGGTTGGAGAACCCACACCACACGGGTGGGGTGACTATGACTTGCCATGGAACTTGTGGATGTGCCAACGGAAAAAAGGTCAAATTTGGTGATCAGTGGGGTTCCTGGCAATCCTTCGTCCAGCTTTTGTCGCTTTTTGGCTTGAAGCACAAATGAAGCCAGTGGACTGGCACGCCCAGTTTTGGCGGCCAATCAGGTCCAACGATTCGATCATTTTTCAGATGCTGAAGGAGTTGCCACAGTTCGCAAGCTATAGATAAACGGCATCAGGCCATTCCACTGCCAAACAGCTCAGTGAAACAGTCTGGTGGGCCCCTTTTCGTTCATCTTTGAGTTGGCAATTCATCTTGGCCTGAAGCAGTGTGCCAAGCTGGGAGATGGGCGCAAAAAGTTCCACCGCGTTCAACAACTCTTGGTTTCCCCTCGCCTTGAATCCAGTCTCCGGCTTGGTGTCTTTGTCAGGTATGTCGTAAAGGTAAACCTTGTTGCTTCGAACTGGAGGCAAATGAACCAGTCACCTTTCAGTTCTGACATGACCTTTGCGTGAACATGTGAATGGAAACGGTTGGTGATTGAAAAGCTGCCCGCTGTGGTGACTGAGTCGCGTGCTGCGTCTGAAGCACACAGAAGCCAAAGGCTCTTCCATTCCTGCCACGGTCACTGTCAAGTTCCCTGTGAAGCTATCCATTGTTCTGAATGTCAAACCAAAGTGTGTGCTTAAGCATGTTCCATAATAAGGAAGCTGCTCACAAATGTCATGCACTCATGTTAGCTATACAAATGAATTCATGGTGATCATCAGGTTCTAACTCTTTTGCAATACATACAGAACCACTCCATGTGCAAAATCAGGACAGCTCGATCGATCAAAATAGTATCATAATAATACATGTTTATAACCATTGGTAATACCTGTATTTCAAATGATGATAAACCTGATATATCCTGATATTGCTTTTTAAGTTTTCATGGTGATTAGCTGATTATAAGATAATCAAAATTCAACTATCAAACGTCTCCGGAGCCCCAGCTCCGGTCCAGTACCAGACTTGCTTGTCCAAAGGCTCCTGCAGGGCTTCATCCAAAACCCTTGCGTGTCCCCAGATAGAAATCACCTCAACGACTCAACGACATGTCATGTAATGTGTTGTAAAGCAAAAGTCAAACCGCAAAATGCAAAAGTCACTACGTACAAATCACACCAGCATAGTTTCTGAATAAATATATGGAATGTACAACGCAGTGCTTTTGAAATATGAATCGAAACCATGCACGTCATGAAGGATCGATATTAAAAAAAAAAAACTTTAAAAGCAGCTAAAAGCACGTCCTTCAATTCGACACTGCAATGCGCCCATCTGATCCTGTCATGGTGCTCTTGATCATGTCTTGGTAAAGTGTGTACCGCTCTGAAATCTAGAGCACCTTGACAGGATCTGAACTCCACAGGGTCAAACATGCCACGGGACCCAAATACAGACCTTAGGCTTAGAGCTCCACGCTTAGGGCTCGAGGACAGTGGCTGAGCCAAGTGGCCAAAAATCTGACCCCGTTCGTATAGCCATTCTTGTTGGTCGCATACTCCCGTGGAATGTTCGGAATATTCAGGAATACTTACTAGTTTTCACATGTTTTCACATGTTTTCACGAATCAAACCATTTTGTTCCAGCTGTCTTGCAGGCGCTTTGTAAAGTTCAGCTGTTTCTGATAGAAAGAGCCATGGAGAAGCCATGTGAGAAGCCATGGAGAAGCCGTACAGTACACCCTTCCATTCCAAGGCTGCACCAAGAGGCCGAAAACTCGCCAGCACTCAGGCAGCGCATCGATCCAGGCTCAAAGGAGACCTGTTATTCCATACTGATTGATATGTTCCCATATGTTCCCATCATGGATTATGAGAATCATTGAGAATCATTGAATCATTGATTTCCCCAAATATCTACAGGGTAGTAGTATAATAGATTATAATAGTATAATCCCCGAGGTACTCATCAACCAACAGGGGTGATGAACTCTGCTCATGTGTCTCAGATGTTCTGCCAGGCAAAAAGGTAGACACGCCAACCAATGTACGAGTAAAATCTGACAGCCCGCTTTCATGGTGAACCAAAGGCAAAAGGCAAGAAGCGACCATGTGTCCCATGTGTCCGAGCAAAACTTCTTGTCAATTCGCCGGCTTCACGGCATAAACATCATGTCCGTGGGAATCGTTCCGCCAGACGATCTGGCAACACCAATCCAATGTTGCACAAACATCTGTTGCCCAACTGTTGCCCAACTTGATGGATCTCTCCAAGCAGCTGTTGCTTAAGATCACTAGAAAATCCTGCGCCCATCTTGCATGCGCAAGAGGATCCACAACAGCCAAAACAGCCTGAAAAACAAACCTAAACATGGATGGCTGATGGCTGGAAGTATTGGACAAGCTGCAGCAGCTTTGAGTAGTGACTGGCCTTCATCAGCAGGTTGAGGTCCCAAAGCGTTAGAACACCAAGTCCTCTCATGCCAACTTGCCAGGCAGAATTTATGGTGGTAACAACAAAAATCTCTGAAGTGCCGCAACCTTCATTGCCCCCGCTAGTTCCAAGGACCCGGAAGCTGCAGGCTCCTGATCCAGTGATGGCCTTGCTGGCGCCAAAGCCAACGCGACTGATCAACTTTGAGTCATTCTTACAAATGTCGCTACAGTAAATGATGCTGAATGACCCAACTAAGGTGATTTGGCTGTCTGGCTGTCTCCAGGTGCACACAACTGCATCCAGGTGGCCTTTTCATTCTTCCAATCAATGTCGCAGCAAAAAATCCTGCCCATTTCTCCCATCTGCAGCCGGCTCACCTCTCAGTGTGCAGTGAGCTGTACATGTCGTGATCCGCGGAAACTTGACATCTGTCCATTCTGCTACCGTTCCCACTGCAGTAGTTCATCCCCCATTCAAGGAATAAGATTTCTGTGGCTGGTATTGGACTGTTGGATTCATCTCAACTTAAGTTTAGTGCAGGCCACTTGGTCAAATGGGTCAAATGGGTCAAATTGAAGACCTCAAAATTGAAGACTGTGCAATCTGCTTGCGAGCTTTTGAGATGTTCACCATGGCATCAGGATTCTTGATGATTTTTGCCGTCATTGGAAGCCACTGGGATTGAACTTGAACTGCTACGCCTTCGCCCAAGCCTCAACGGATTGCCGTGACTCCAAAGTCCACAAGCGAAGGCCGTCCATCAATCCAGCGCTCATGGCTCGCCTGCACTCGTCGGCATTGACCATTGGACCATGATTGCCATATGATTGCCATATGGGTATGGATCAATACCTATACATACCATTTTTAGTGGGATGAACATCCATAAATCCCAGCTATTTTGATGTGAACTACAGGGGTACTATTGGTTTTGACACACTGCCATATATTGCCATGTTCATAATTTGAGTATTGCCATCCATTGCCCCATTATTGGCTGCATAACCCAAGCCGGCCCAAAGGGCCCTCAGCCTTAGCTCCCAGTTCACCAGCAAGCAGCAAACAGAACTGGTGTGACCACGCAACAGGCTACACCTAAGGCGCACCAGGCAAGGGACTAAATAGTGACTATCAGATAGGACTACCATTTCAATATCAGTCATTCATAGTATCCAAATTCATCTTCATATGGAGGTTTCCTAAAAATAAGGATGCTCCAAATCATCCACATTTGAACATCATTTTGCCATGGGTTTTCGGGATCCCCCCATTTCAGGAAACCTCATGAAAGCTCCATATTCCTCAAAGCTTTGCCGACCACTTCACCAAAATCCAAGAGGCTCCCCTGTCTCCATCTTCCAGAAGCGGATGACACGATCACGGCAGGCGCTCAAGGCTTCAGATCGCTGCCAGCAAACTCTCACCACGTCCTAAGCAGGCGGCGTTTGGTAAAACGACCTTGATCCAATCCAAAGAAGCCAAACGCTGATTGAAAATAAAGAAAAATCATAATATTCATGCTGATAATGGTGATAATGATATATAATAATGAAAAATATCACGGTAGTAATAATGATATAATTATATAATATACAATAATGATATTTAATGATAATGATAATAACGACAATAATAAGTAACAATAACAAGAATAATAACAAACAGTAGCAATAATAGTGATAATGATATCATTGCGTAATAGCGATAATAATTATGATACATAATTGTAATAATAATATATAATAATAACAATAATAACAATAATCATTAATAATAATAATAATAGTAGTAGTAGTAGTGATGATGGCGATAGGAAGAAATATTTTGAATAATAAGAAAACTCGTAATCATCATCATCATCATCATCCGACGACTGCAACATGTGGTCGGGACCCATGTATCCCATACTTTGCGTGGAAACACTCGCAAAATCCACCAGGTTTGGAACAGCTGTTGAAACACATAGGATTTGCTAAGGTGGCTGCCACTTAGCTCAAACGAAGCTTCAATGCAACTGCGATGGCCGCGGAAGACTCTCAAGATCTTGCCGGAGAGGAGATCCCACAAAAGCAGGCGTCCAGCCATGGTGCCCAAGAGGACTTTGCCTTCACAGGATTCAAGTAGGGACATGACTTCCTTATCCTTTCTGATGTCTTAACATTGAGGAGAACAAGTTCTCTTGGACAAAATGGTGATAAAGCACCAACGATCTTTCATCATGTTTCATAGTGCTTCATGAGCATGTTTGAACCACAAATGTCCCCCTAAAACGGCGCATAGCACCTTGGGACCAGTCAGCTGCCACGGCTTCTTTGGAACTTACTCCAGGTCTGTCTCCAGCATTCTTCTCATCCTAGATGCTGGACAGTGTCAGAGTTGTGGTCATCCTTATGGTCACAACAAAAAAATCACCCGATCACCCATGAAAAATGTCGAAAGCTAGGTGGATCACAACAACTTGAAACAAACAAGTATAGTAACTCCCAACTAACTCCCAAAAAAAATGGAAAAATGGGGGTTTCAGGGCGTATATGTTTGTATGTTGCTTGTTATGATTTTGTGTTGGGGTTCAATGTTTCATCTTCGCCTTTGATGTTTTTTCAGGTGGGGTTTTGGGGGTAATTTTGTTGCTAAAGTGATGTGTCAATGTTTGGATTGAAGGGGGGTAGGATTTGTTTAGGCTGTTGGGGTTTTTGTTTGTGTTTGGGTGGGTGATTACTTCATAATATGTGTTGTTAAGATATTATGAATTAATCATTTATGCTTTCCACTTTCCTATTCCATCCCACCAGTGTTCAATCACTCTCATTTGTGTTAAGCAAGGTTTGTTTGTATCATTTAGTTCATCCATTGCTATTGATAAAAGCGTTAGGTTGATAATCATAGCGTTGAATTCTCCATCTCGGTTGAGTTCCTTTCCACAATCAATGATGACTTTTTTATCAGTGAGGTTTTCATACATCTTTTTCATTATATCAAATCTTACGAATGAATATATTATCATTCCATTTACTCCTTCTGCTTCTTTCATCCTATCAATTACTTTCTTCCAAAACTTTTCTCCTTCCTCATCATCTGGTGAAGGCATAGGATGGCACTTTACAAAGTCTCTAATCTCTTCATCTTCTTTTTCTATTTGTTTTCTTTCCCAATCATCGTCCTCACTATCACTACCAAAGTCAGCATATATACCAATATTCCCTGTATCTATAACCTCAATTTTTGCTCTACTCATTTTCTCTTACTATATATAGATATTTTTTCTTTAAGTATTTATCACTTTTTGTAGGTGCTCTTTTATTTCTTCTATGTTCAAATATTTCTCATAACCGTTGAACAGTTCTTCAACATATTCACGCAAGAAAATTTCCAAAATGTCTTTTATCTTGAACTCCCTGTTTCTAAACATAAAAGTTCGTTCAACATTAGGAAACCACCAGCATCTTCGTTGCTTACTGTAATTGATGAAATTAAGGTCGTGAAAGTTCTTTAGAATATGATAAGTGTATTTCCAATGGTTTTTGACATAAGACTTAATCGCTTGAAGATATATCTTATCCTTTTGAAATTCTACCTTCAGTTTATAGGTGTCCAATAAAGCATCTATTTCTCTCTTCATTACTCTTAAATTTGTTCGGTCGGTGTTGGATAAATAGATAGGTGATTTTTCCATCCGTGTTTTAAAGAAATGTATTTGTTTTTCAACTCTTGTTAGTTCTTTCTCTTCAAAATGGTCGAAATGATAGTTGAATGTTATATCTCTGCGTTCCTTATCATTCAACTCTTTACATTTTGAACAGTGAAGGTTGTAATCACATATCTCATCACAAATTCCAGCAGGAAAAATGTTGTTCAATAAAACCTTAATGTCAGTCATTTCTTTTTTACAACATCCACAGTTTTTATAGGTAAATAGCATCCTCTTACTGTATATAGTCATTTTTTCTTTAAGTAGTTTTTGGGGGCTCGTTCAGTTTTCGGGTTCGGGTTCGTTTTTATTTTCCCTTTCCTCCTCTTCCAGTTCTCTTATGACCATATCTATTTCACTCATTCCTTCGTTGGGGTCTTGTCCATTGGCAAGGTTTCTTAACCTCTCAAAATCCTTCACTTTGTGTCTTTCATTAGGTGGGAGGGTTTTGAGATGTTCCTTCAACTCTGTCGGGTCAAAGTATGTGTCTTGTTCTTCATCCTCATTTTCCAAAAACATGTCCATTCTTTGCTTTTCCATCTCCATAAGTTTGTTTTCCATATATTGGAATTCAATTGCTTCTTGTAGCACTTCCCACAAACATTCACGAAGGTTTTTAACAAATAATTCCAACTAGGTTTTTTGTAATCACCATTGTTTAAGGTGATACACTCACTCATTATACGACATCCACAGTCAAATTTAGTCATCTTATTTAGTCTTACTATATATAGGTATTTTTTCTTTAAGTATATTTTTTTATTGGTGATAATTTTGAAAATCTAATATTATAATATATGGCAAGGAGACTATCAAGAGATGACATCATAAGCAATGTCTATTACAATCTTGAAACGGGCTTCGGCTCAATCAATGAGACCCTCAAAAAAGCGAAGGAACAAGACCCGACCATCAACAGGGTGGATGTGGAAACCTTTATGAGGAAACAGCCCAACAAACAGATTAGAAAATACAGGGGTTCAAACTCCTACACCGCCCCGTTCGCAAGGTTTGAATATCAGATTGACATAATGGATATGAAACCCCTTACCAAAGAACCAGAGGTTGAAGTTCCAATCAAGAATGGTGAGCCGAGATACGGGTTGGTAGTCATTGACATCTTCAGCAAGTTGGCTAACGTCGTCCCTATGAAGGAAAAGTCAGGACCAATCACTTTGTCGGCAATGAAAGAGAGTTTCAACAAAATGGGTTTTCCAATGTCCGTTTATAGTGATAATGACCGTGCCTTCCAAGCGGGAGTTAAAGACTTTTTTGAGAAAGAAGGCATCACTCACGTCGTCACCCTCACACACGCTAATGTTGTGGAGCGTTTCATCAGAACAATGAAGAATATGATTCACGATAGGGTCAGGTTTAATCGTGGTAGTTGGACTGTGATGTTGTCCAAAGCGTTGGATAAATACAACGACACCGTCCATTCATCTACAAAAATGAAAGCCAAGGATGCCCACGACGACAAGAACCATATGGACGTCAGGGTGAATTTGACAAGGAGGGAAAAGAACATTCGCAAATATCCAGAGGTCAAAGTGAATGATATGGTCAAGGTCTTTGAGAAGAAAAAAGACAACTACACCGAGAGGAAGGAGTATAACTCAAAGTGGAGCAATCAATCCTACAAAATCGTCAAGATAGAATACGACGACGTCGGAAACAGAACCTTCAAACTGGAAGGATTGAACAAACCGTATTTGAGGCACGAGATTTTGAAAGTATAAAAAATTATCTATAATATTAATATATGACAGAGGTAGTCGTAAAAGAGATTGATAATGAAGAACCAAAGGAAGAAACAATACCAGAACCAATACAGGAAGAAGCACCGAAGGAAGAGGAGAAACCAGAAGAAATAATTGAAACACCAGTTCAAGAGAAACCGCAACAAGCAACGGTAGTCCCAAAGCCCAAAAGGGTAAGACCGTCAAGGGCGAAACCACCTTTTGACCCAGAAGCATTCAAAAACGACCTTGTAAAGCAACTGAAGGAAGAACTACAGAGTGCAATGACCGCCAGAGACACCTACAACAAAGCCAAAGAGGAAAAGAACAAAGCGACGAGAGAGAAATTGAAATCTTTAGCATCAAAAATTTTGTAAAGTATTATATATAAAAATGAACATCAAGGAACAGAAAACGGAACTCAACAAAACTGACATCTACGAAAACGTCCGCAAGGACATCAACAGAAGACAAACCGTCCATTCAAACAAAAGTGCCAACTACAGGAGCGGAACGCCCGAAATGCCAGACAGAAGAAAAAAAGTGTATAGTAGTTATGACCACTACTACCACAACGACAGCAACACGGCAAGGATGCCAACTCACAACCATCATCTTTACCTAAAGCGTCTTCTTGAATATCACAACACCGAGCACGACTACAAGGTCTTACAAGTAAAGCAGAGGATGAAGGAAGAGAATGAGATGCTACAGAACGAAATGACAAGGTTGAGGGAGGTGAGGAAAAATCACAGATTGGAAGATTACAGGGCGAACGTCCAGAATATGAAACAGAGAATTGATGAGTATAAGCAGTGGTTGAGAGGCGATACACAAGATTAATATAAAAATCTAAAGTATTAATATATAGCAATGACAGCAGAAGTAATCAACGCAAAACAGGGATTGACACGAATACCCACTTACGCGGAACTCATCAAGGAAATAGACAGGGAAAAGTTCAAAACCAATGACATCAGAAAAATCTTTGATAGGAACGCTTGGTATTTTCACGAAAGTCCGCAGGGTCAAGCACTGAACACAAACAACATCCACCCAGCAGACTTACAGCAAATGAACTTCAAAAAGATGGCAGAGGAAGCGACCGCAAGGAAGGAAGAAGAAACACCCAACCTTGACTTTGAAGATATGACCGACTTGAGGGACGACGCCATCAGCGACTTTGAGATGTCCTTTGACAGAGAGGCAGAGTTGAGGGAAGAGAACGAAAGGAGAGTAGCAGAACAGGCAAATTTAAGTCATTCACAAGACCACTATATGGCAAACAAAGGAACATACGACGCCGTTGGAGCAACAGCATCGGCAGGGATACAAGAAGACGAAGAACCGCCTTCAAGCAGTAGAAGCATCTTAAAGAACTTCCTTAAATCATCCAAACCAGTCATCAAAGCAGTCGCCACAGCAGGAGGAACAGCAAAGGGAGGGTCAATAGGAGGACTAATAGCATCAAAACTGACAGACACCATCATACCCGACGAAGACGAGGAAGAGAAACCGTCCAAGATAAAACCAACACAAAAACTAATCAACAAACAAGTCAAAAAGGTAAATCACCAAAAGAAATTAAAGGAGGAAAAATCAAAGATGAATGTAGATGTAGTGCCCGACACCGCAGAAGCAATGGACACAACAGCAATACCAACAGCAGAAAAGAGGAAACCCTTAAGCGTGAGACAGTCCAAAGCAAAGAGGCAGAAACCAAAACCGCCAACGCAGGAGAAGAGAGAATTTCAGGAAGACCCATCCACAACCACCAAACCACCCAAAGCAAGAAGAGTAAGAGGAAAGCAACCACAACCACAAGCATTAGGAGCAACAATCAACATCCCCAAAGACAACAAGACACCCAATGTAGATGAAGCAGAGACAGCACAGGAAGAAACAGGGGCGTCATCTTCATCAAAAGCACCAGTCAGGAAACCAGCAATGAACAGGGCAATATCACCAAGCAAGGTAGGAATACAAGTGATAAGAGAGAAGTTTGAAGAGATGAACAACAGCAAAAGCATAGACACAGGAGACTATCAAAGGTTTCAAGAGGTATATGGTAAATGGAAATCAAGCAAGGGAGAGGAAAAGAAACAACATCTAAAGGAAGCGAAGGAACTTTACAAGTCAATCATCTATCCAAAATTAAAATCAAAATAATTAATAAAATTATTCATTATAATTTTATTAATTATCCCCTATCTTTTTTTAGTCATAGAAAATGACAGATTGGGCTTTTATCTCCAAGATACATTCGTGTTCAATAACGATATACATTTTGTCAGGCATCAGTCCAGTATCAGTCCCGTTGTCTGTTGTATATAGGTCTGTTCCATACAGAGGCTTTACACGGACAACCATATTTGAATTGTTCTTCAAATTCAGTCCAGTGTAATTGGCACTGTTGAGTTTCTTGAGGTTGAACCCCGCTAAAAAGGAATTCGTCCTATACATATGAGGTTTTATGGAAACGTGATTGTTTCGTGTTTCTTGTAGATGCTTGTAGTTGTCAGCAACCCCCATCGTTGGCATTTCGGGTATGACGGTATTACCAATACTCAACTGAAAGGACAAATCAATGTTTTCATAGTATCTTTGAGCAATGGATGTTCCGCTTTCCCACGAAAGGGGATGATAAAGAAGATTATGAGGTTTCAACACTTCTTGGAAACCACCCTTATAACCAAAATTTGAATAGAAAGATATGAAGATGTTGTCAGCCTTACTTACATTTCTAACTATGGTCGTGAAGATGTCGGTGCTTCTGCTTGTTGTTTGAGTTTGAACTGAAACACTGTTGAAGGTTATAGGTAAAGATTGCTTTTCCAAAATTTCAGCATACTCCGCAAATAAACCATCATCAAGTCGGTGAATATCACAGGTGATGATGGGTTGCTCTATGTTCCACAAGAACGAAGTATTCGTTGTGGTAAAATCACCACTTAAATTAACGAGGGGTTCATTAGCATCACTGACCAAAGTTAGTTCAATGACAATCGGACAGTATGATAAAGGAATGAAGTTTGATACATTGAAGAAGGGACAAGAAGGTCGGTAATAAACGGTCTTTTTGTGTTTAAATCCTCCGAAATTGTCAGGTTTCGCTTGGTCAATGACATTCTGAACTGTGTTTGAAACTGGGTTCGTTGCCAACTGCGTATATGTCAAAAATCGGTTTCCTTCATTGTAAAAGGTCTCGCCAAAACCAAGATTGTCAGTATAGTTTCTTGAACCGTCATCTTGTAAAATATCCATCATTGCTTCATAGCGGTTTAAGTCAGGAATTTCAGCAATAACATTTGAACCCGCCATCACTCGCATTCGTTGAAAAAATGAAGATGGTTTATTCAATCTCTGCCATTTCATTTCACTTTTGCTCATCCAGTCTTGGAACACTGTGCGGTCTGTCCCACCGGTCAATTGTGCAGTGCAGATAGAGTGCATCCCGGATTGAAGGGTAGGTGCAACCCCAATAAAAATCATCACCTTTCTGTGTTTTGCCAGTCTGGTTGGACGCAATGCGGATTGCACCATCCATGAATCACGAATGGCACCTTCAGTGCATAACGGATTGCACCCGACCTGCAATCCAAAAGTCCTACTGGTCCTACAAGGAACAAAGCACTCTCATTCACACGCCACTGCCACTTCCGCCTTCAGACCTTCTTCAAAAGGTCATGCACTGTGCGAGAAACTGCGCAGTAGCGTCGCTCCTCTGCCCGCGCATCCACATAGATGCAATGAGCGCTTCGGTTCCGCACCGCTCTCGCCACGTCCGCAGGCGTGAAGTGCTTCATGAACCTCTCAGCATCAACACACTGCTCGAAGGAGCTATGCGCCACGGCCTTGGCCAAGGTGCGTGCCATCCTCACCTTTTCTGGGCCAAAGCCACCTTGGTTGTCAATGCCCAAGAACTTCTGGACCTGACTTCTTTGCACCGCAAGCCGTTTGGACTTTGCTTCTTCCCATGATGTCTCTTTGGCATTTTGCGCCACGTCCTGCAGGAGATGTGGGCAAGTTTCAAGGTTTCAACGTTCGTTGATGTTTCGGGTTGTTGTCCCATGGTTTCATGACCCTTGTCCTCCATTACACCGATGTTGCCACCTGTGAGTTGAATCATGTCGCTCTTGTGCGTGGAGGCCTCTTCACCGCCATGATGACGTAGGAATTCCTCAACCTGACAAGGAGACGTCCATCTGCAAACATCCCAACCCATGCCAGAAGTAGCACCAACAAAAAGCACTAAAGTGATTGAAGGTGACTGAACAATTACCACATGAACTGAAGCTCTTCATTCTGGCCTCCTTCTGCGAGAGTTCTTCACTCGTCAGTGGTGGAACGAAGAATCGGCGCTCACGACCGTCTGCGTCAAAAGCCATGGCTGACACTGCAGAACTGACCATCACCAGCACTTTGGCAACCTCGTCATCAAAGCCCCATGACTTCGCAAAGGCGGAGACGCTGCTCATCACATCTGGATTAAAGACACCACGAGGAACTTCAAGGATGATGATGGGTTGCCGTCCCATTCTTGTCTTGGCATCTCTCAAGCCACGCACCACCTCCTCTTCATGGAGCACTGCCAACCTGCTCCTCAATGCGTCCTTGGCCAAGTCGTTGTTCTGCATGAGCTTGATGTGGAGCACTCCATTGTTCCACTGTTTCTCCTGCAACACTTCCCAAAGGATGGTGCTCTTGCCAACTTCATGGTTCCCCCAGATGAGGATTGGGCGGGGGTCGTCCAAGTCCAACAACTGGTGCATTTCGTCCTGCCACAGTGCATAGTGAGCATAGTGCATCAAATTCAAAATGTCAGTATGACATGAAATAACACCTATCTCAAGAACAAATCCCTTCTGTCAAGAAACGCAGGGACAAACACAACAAAAAAAAAGGTGGTGCTTGGACGCCTTGATTATCTTCCGTTCAATCTTGACACGTGGCTCGCGTGCTTTGAAAGAGGCATTCACAATGATATTCTTCATCTTGACGATGCCGTTCTTGTTCTTGACGATGCCGCCACATATCCCATCCAAAGGTCACGATGGCCAACGAGCCACCACCACCAACCAACCACTTTCCAATCTGCTGTTTCGTGGTCGGCTCCTTCTCTGGAGCGTTGTTTGAGAAGCAACGGTGGTTTCGTCGGCCTGACATGAGAAGCCGAAAACCACAACATCGGGCAATGAGGCAACGCGACATACCCATGGCGGAAATCTCCAGAACTGGGACTGTGCTGGAGCTCAAGCACTTTACGATTTCTTGATGCGTTGACTTGTTCATAGTGCAACACATGCCGCAAGTAGAACTCATCTTATCTTGTGAGCATTTGTGAGCCTGTCTGCTGCGGGAGAAAGCAATCAACATCTCTGGGTGTAGTGTAATGCCACAATGTGTACATAGAGTGTACATAGTGCCTCAAGAAACGCAATATGTCCTCAAAAGTGATGCTTCCATGCAAACGAAACAGCGCGCACATCTCATCTGGGCGCCCCCGACGAAATCCAGAAAGTCCATGAAGAAGTCCGCAAAAAATGAGGCGAAGCGAAAGACGTTCAAATCAAAACACAACCAAGAAAAAACGCCACCAAAAAAGACGAGAATGAGAGAATAAAAAATGAAAGATGTTGAAAGACATGGAACCTTTTGAAAGATATCAAGTTGAATGTTCTGTCTTGAAACTGATGATAAGGAAACACAATAAAATCATACCCAAAAAAAGACAAGACATACCTTGACAATAAAAAAACGACAGCCACAAGTACACTATCCACAGTATCTCCCTCATCTGAACCAAAACACAAACCCCAACAGCCTAAACCAATCCTACCCTCATCTGAACCAAACATTGACACATCACTTTAGCATCAAAATGACCCCCAAAACCCCACCTGAAAAATCATCAAAACCAAGGATGAAACATTGAACCCCAACACAAAATCATAACAAGCAACATACCAACATACACGCCCTGAAACCCCCATTTTACCATTTTTTTCCCAACTAACTCCCAACTAACTCCCAACTAACTCCCAACTAACTCCCAACTATTGTAACAACTATATTAACTACCAACTTGCTCCATCTGGGTCCATCTTGGTCAAGGCCCTTGAGGGCGGGTTGGGATCGGGGTACAAGCATTCACCAGGTCCTGCATCACGCGCAGTAGATGAAGCGACTCATCGGTCTCACTGGTCCGTCCCCAAAGGTACAAGGTGCCATCCTGAGGAAAGTGCTGAGAGGAAAATGATTACAAACAGAGGGATATGAAAAGTAAAAATAAAAATATGCACAAAAAAAATGTGCATGTAATGTAATGCAATGTAATGTAATGTAATCCAATGCAATGCAATGTAATGGAATGTAATGTAATGTAGTGTATGTACTGTACTATACTATACTATACTGTACTGTAATGTGATGTAATCCAATGTAATGCAATGCAATGTAATGTAATGCAATGTAATGTAGTGCAATGTAATGCATGTACTGTACTATACTATACTGTACTATACTGTACTGTAATGTAATGCAATGTAATGTAATGTATTGTATGTACTGTACTATACTATACTGTACTGTAATATAATGCAATGCAATGTAATGCAATGTAATGTAACGCAATGTAATGTAATCCGCCGACCCCTGCCGTCAGCAGGGGGAGCGCGTCAGAGGAGGCCTTACTAGCAACAAGATGCCAGAAGGGGCGAAGAGTTTGCGCAGAACGAAAGCCGGCTCCAGGAGGACACGAGCAGGGTGGCAGTTGGCAGTGTAGAAACGCAGGAAAAGTCAAGGTTTGGAGCTAGTTTCTAGTCGGTTCAGAAAGTGACGTTTGGCAGTCTGGGATACGGGCCGCAGGCCCAATCCGTCCTTCACTGCCATGGTGTTTTAGCCCTGCGACACGTCCTTGGACTCCAGCTTGGACCGAAGCGGTGTAGAACGAAAGCCGGCTCCAGGAGGACACGAGCAGGGTGGCAGTTGGCAGTGCAGAAACGCAGGAAAAGTCAAGGTTTGGAGCTGGTTTCTAGTCGGTTCAGAAAGTGACGTTTGGCAGTCTGGGATACGGGCCGCGGGCCCAATCCGTCCGTCACTGCCATGGTGTTTTAGCCCTGCGACACGGTCCGTGGACTGCAGCTTGGACCGAAGCGGTGCAGAACGAAAGCCGGCTCCAGGAGGACACGAGCAGGGTGGCAGTTGGCAATGCAGAAATGCAGGAAAAGTCAAGGTTTGGAGCTAGTTTCTAGTCGGTTCAGAAAGTGACGTTTGGCAGTCTGGGATACGGGCGGCGGGCCCAACCCGTCCGTCACTGCCATTGTGTTTTAGCCCTGCGACACGGTCCTTGGACTCCAGCTTGGACCGAAGCGGTGCAGAACGAAGGCCGGCTCCAGGAGGACACGAGCAGGGTGGCAGTTGGCACTGCAGAAACGCAGGAAAAGTCAAGGTTTGGAGCTAGTTTCTAGTCGGTTCAGAAAGTGACGTTTGGCAGTCTGGGATACGGGCCGCGGGCCCAATCCGTCCTTCACTGCCATGGTGTTTTAGCCCTGCGACACGGTCCTTGGACTCCAGCTTGGACTGGGCCGAAGCGGTGCAGAACGAAAGCCGGCTCCAGGAGGACACGAGCAGGGTGGCAGTTGGCAATGCAGAAACGCAGGAAAAGTCAAGGTTTGGAGCTAGTTTCTAATCGGTTCAGAAAGTAACGTTTGGCACTCTGGGCTACGGGCCGCAGAACGAAAGCCGGCTCCAGGAGGACACGAGCAGGGTGGCAGTTGGCAGTGTAGAAACGCAGGAAAAGTCAAGGTTTGGAGCTGGTTTCTAGTCGGTTCAGAAAGTGACGTTTGGCAGTCTGGGATACGGGCCGCGGGCCCAATCCGTCCTTCACTGCCATGGTGTTTTAGCCCTGCGACACGGTCCTTGGACTCCAGCTTGGACCGAAGCGGTGCAGAACGAAAGCCGTCTCCAGGAGGACACGAGCAGGGTGGCAGTTGGCAGTGCAGAAACGCAGGAAAAGTCAAGGTTTGGAGCTTATTTCTAGTTGGTTCAGAAAGTGACGTTTGGCAGTCTGGGATACGGGCCGCAGGCCCAATCCGTCCTTCACTGCCATGGTGTTTTAGCCCTGCGACACGGTCCTTGGACTCCAGCTTAGACCGAAGCGGTGCAGAACGAAAGCCGCGCCAGGAGGACACGAGCAGGGTGGCAGTTGGCAGTGCAGAAACGCAGGTAAAGTCAAGGTTTGGAGCCGCAGAACGAAAGCCGGCTCCAGGAGGACACGAGCAGGGTGGCAGTTGGCAGTGCAGAACCGCAGGAAAAGTCAAGGTTTGGAGCTAGTTTCTAGTCGGTTCAGAAAGTGACGTTTGGCAGTCTGGGATACGGGCCGCGGGCCCAATCCGTCCTTCACTGCCATGGTGTTTTAGCCCTGCGACACGGTCCTTGGACTCCAGCTTGGACCGAAGCGGTGCAGAACGAAAGCCGGCTCCAGGAGGACACGAGCAGGGTGGCAGTTGGCAGTGCAGAAACGCAGGAAAAGTCAAGGTTTGGAGCTAGTTTCTAGTCGGTTCAGAAAGTGACGTTTGGCAGTCTGGGATACGGGCCGCGGGCCCAATCCGTCCTTCACTGCCATGGTGTTTTAGCCCTGCGACACGGTCCTTGGACTCCAGCTTGGACCGAAGCGGTGCAGAACGAAAGCCGGCTCCAGGAGGACACGAGCAGGGTGGCAGTTGGCAGTGCAGAAACGCAGGAAAAGTCAAGGTTTGGAGCTAGTTTCTAGTCGGTTCAGAAAGTGACGTTTGGCAGTCTGGGATACGGGCCGCGGGCCCAATCCGTCCTTCACTGCCATGGTGTTTTAGCCCTGCGACACGGTCCTTGGACTCCAGCTTGGACCGAGGCGTTGCAGAACGAAAGCCGGCTCCAGGAGGACACGAGCAGGGTGGCAGTTGGCAGTGCAGAAACGCAGGAAAAGTCAAGGTTTGGAGCTAGTTTCTAGTCGGTTCAGAAAGTGACGTTTGGCAGTCTGGGATACGGGCCGCGGGCCTAATCCGTCCTTCACTGCCATGGTGTTTTAGCCCTGCGACATGCGACACGGTCCTTGGACTCCAGCTTAGACCGAAGCGGTGCAGAACGAAAGCCGGCGCCAGGAGGACACGAGCAGGGTGGCAGTTGGCAGTGCAGAAACGCAGGTAAAGTCAAGGTTTGGAGCCGCAGAACGAAAGCCGGCTCCAGGAGGACACGAGCAGGGTGGCAGTTGGCAGTGCAGAAACGCAGGAAAAGTCAAGGTTTGGAGCTAGTTTCTAGTCGGTTCAGAAAGTGACGTTTGGCAGTCTGGGATACGGGCCGCGGGCCCAATCCGTCCTTCACTGCCATGGTGTTTTAGCCCTGCGACACAGTCCTTGGACTCCAGCTTGGACCGAAGCGGTGCAGAACGAAGGCCGGCTCCAGGAGGACACGAGCAGGGTGGCAGTTGGCAGTGCAGAAACGCAGGAAAAGTCAAGGTTTGGAGCTAGCTTCTAGTCGGTTCAGAAAGTGACGTTTGGCAGTCTGGGGTACGGGCCGCGGGCCCAATCCGTCCTTCACTGCCATGGTGTTTTAGCCCTGCGACACGGTCCTTGGACTCCAGCTTGGACTGGACCGAAGCGGTGCAGAACGAAAGCCGGCTCCAGGAGGACACGAGCAGGGTGGCAGTTGGCAGTGCAGAAACGCAGGAAAAGTCAAGGTTTGGAGCTAGTTTCTAGTCGGTTCAGAAAGTGACGTTTGGCAGTCTGGGATACGGGCCGCGGGCCCAATCCGTCCTTCACTGCCATGGTGTTTTAGCCCTGCGACACGGTCCTTGGACTCCAGCTTGGACCGAAGCGGTGCAGAACGAAGGCCGGCTCCAGGAGGACACGAGCAGGGTGGCAGTTGGCAGTGCAGAAACGCAGGAAAAGTCAAGGTTTGGAGCTAGTTTCTAGTCGGTTCAGAAAGTGACGTTTGGCAGTCTGGGATACGGGCCGCGGGCCCAATCCGTCCTTCACTGCCATGGTGTTTTAGCCCTGCGACACGGTCCTTGGACTCCAGCTTGGACCAAAGCGGTGCAGAACGAAAGCCGGCGCCAGGAGGACACGAGCAGGGTGGCAGTTGGCAGTGCAGAAACGCAGGAAAAGTCAAGGTTTGGAGCTAGTTTCTAGTCGGTTCAGAAAGTAACGTTTGGCACTCTGGGCTACGGGCCGCAGAACGAAAGCCGGCTCCAGGAGGACACGAGCAGGGTGGCAGTTGGCAATGCAGAAACGCAGGAAAAGTCCAGGTTTGGAGCTAGTTTCTAGTCGGTTCAGAAAGTGACGTTTGGCAGTCTGGGATACGGGCCGCGGGCCCAATCCGTCCTTCACTGCCATGGTGTTTTAGCCCTGCGACACGGTCCTTGGACTCCAGCTTGGACCGAAGCGGTGCAGAACGAAAGCCGGCTCCAGGAGGACACGAGCAGGGTGGCAGTTGGCAGTGCAGAAACGCAGGAAAAGTCAAGGTTTGGAGCTAATTTCTAGTCGGTTCAGAAATTACGTTTGGCAGTCTGGGGTCCTTCACTGCCATGGTGTTTTAGCCCTGCGACACGGTCCTTGGACTCCAGCTTGGACCGAAGCGGTGCAGAACGAAAGCCGGCTCCAGGAGGACACGAGCAGGGTGGCAGTTGGCAGTGCAGAAACGCAGGAAAAGTCAAGGTTTGGAGCTAGTTTCTAGTCGGTTCAGAAAGTGACGTTTGGCAGTCTGGGATACGGGCCGCGGGCCTAATCCGTCCTTCACTGCCATGGTGTTTTAGCCCTGCGACACCTTCCTTGGACTCCAGCTTAGACCGAAGCGGTGCAGAACGAAAGCCGGCTCCAGGAGGACACGAGCAGGGTGGCAGTTGGCAGTGCAGAAATGCAGGTAAAGTCAAGGTTTGGAGCCGCAGAACGAAAGCCGGCTCCAGGAGGACACGGGCAGGGTGGCAGTTGGCAGTGCAGAAACGCAGGAAAAGTCAAGGTTTGGAATGGTTTGGAGCTAGTTTCTAGTCGGTTCAGAAAGTGACGTTTGGCAGTCTAGGATACGGGCCGCGGGCCCAATCCGTCCTTCACTGCCATGGTATTTTAGCCCTGCGACACGGTCCTTGGACTCCAGCTTGGACCGAAGCTGTGCAGAACGAAAGCCGGCTCCAGGAGGACACGAGCAGGGTGGCAGTTGGCAGTGCAGTGTCGTCTCGGGTCTCTTTAGGATGCCATTTCA